AATATTATATCCAATGCAGAAGTAACCAAAATAAAAATATAATTAATTCACAAAGAAGTTTAGCACAAAAATAAATACTTTCTTCAGCAGATATTTTAAAATCATTTTACATAGAATGATTTTGAGGCCTTTTCTCTTTTTTCCAACAGCAGAAGACCTGCAGTTGTTCCTCAGGTTTGTGGTATAATACTTCCTCTTCAGCCCTAAGTTTTCCATGCTTACCACGCTGCTCACTGACCTACTAAAGCACCTCACCTCAAAGCATTCTACTGAATGCCAGAGTCAGATGGGACATTTACAAGTATTTCTTGGTTGCAATCTTTATTTATCTGAACCCACAGAAATAGTTCAACATAAAGACCTACATATCAAAGAATCACAATACAAAAGACCTAAAATGGGGCCTCAGAGACCAAGTCCAACCTATACCTGACCAAGAATCCCTTCTACAACATCCCCATCAAGTGATAATCTAACATATACTTGACATTGACCAATGAAGGGGAACCCAGTACCTTCAGAGGCAGTCCATTCTACTTACATGTCATATTATTTTATTTTATTGCAATTATTTATTTATTTATTTGTTGAGGCAATTGGGGTTAAGTGACTTGCTTGGAGTCACACAGCTAGTAAGTGTTATGTGTCTGAGGCCAGATTTGAGTCAGGTCCTCCCGACTCCAGGGCTGATGCTTTATCCACTATGCCACCTAGCTGCCTCCATTCATGTCTTTCCGGGTGTTTATGAAATCTATCCATTGCGCCACCTAGCTGCCCCTCCACATCATATTATTGACTCACATGGAACTTGCAGTCTTTTAAAACCTCTATTTATTTTTTCACAGATATTATTATTTTTCCATGTCTCCTTGATCCTATAATTGCAAAAAACCCATTCATAGAGCTTTATTCATTCATTGGATAGACATTTATTGGGGATGTAAAAACAAAATAGGCCCTGTGCTCAAAGAACTTACATCCTTTATTGGGGGGAAATTTACATTTATTCCTATTGAACTGAATTGTCTTATTTGATTAACTCTATCATTCTAGTATGCTGAAAACGTTCTGGATCTGGATTCTATCATCTGCAAATTTAAAAAGGATGCTTTTCTGTGCCTTCATCTAAGTTACTTAGAAGAAAAATCTGTATAGTGAAGGGCAAAGGACCAATAATTGGAGTATTTCACTAGAGACTTTCATTCAAGCTGTCATCTATACATTGATGACCAATCTTTGATTCGGCCAGCTAGTTCCTGTATCTATATACCTGTACTATCATCTAGCCTCTCTATCTTTTCTACAAATATACAACTGAAGACTTGGTCAAGTGTTTTGCTAAAATCTAAGTATTCATGGTAGTAACTTAATTTACTGATCTAGTTATCTCGTTAGAAAAGGAAATGAAAGTAGTATAGTATGACTTGTTATTGATGGAGCCATATGTGCTTTTAATTTTCACTTCTCTTCTCACGCATGATGTTCCATCTCCTGCCTCCATGACTTTGCCCATACTTGGAATTATTCTTCTCAAGGCATAGCACCTCTGCAGCATAACATCAATCCATATAAGTCTTCTGGGCTCAATTTTTTATGAGAGGCTGAAGTATTTTTCTGCTTTCAGCTACTGACTTAGCTGGATGGTATTGTACTTTCTTCATCTGAAGTGCTACAGAGCTCTTTCACCTAGGTCAGTGGCTCTTGGTTTAGAATTAGAAGCTTTTTCTCTTTGACTCCCTCAGAGTCTCAGCTCTTAAGGTGGTATGTCACCTCAGGGCAAGAAAAGGGAGAAGTCTTGCCTATCTACTTGACAAATTCTTCCTATCTCAAAAGTCTCTTCTCTCCTTAAAGCCACTCTTGTTACCTTAGTTTCAATTCAGAAAGTTTCACTTCCCACACTCCTTTGAAAATCTTAGATAAAAGGCAAAGAATAAAAGTATGAATGAAATCTCTAAAACTGCAGCACTTTTCCCATCTCCAAGATCTTTTAAAGATCCCTGAGAGTGGCTTGTTAGTCATATCTACTAGTTCTTTCAGCATTTTAATTTTTATTCAGGCCTGGTGAGTTGAATTCATTTAGGACACTTAAATGCAGTTTTGTTATCTCTTCACTCATCTTGGGTTTACAATTCCTGCTAACTATAGTCGTTTTTCTTCTTTTCAATCCAAAGGTCATTCTCCTTAGAAGATAAAACAGAAGCAAAATAAGAGTCAAGCAGCTCAGCCTTCTCACTATCATCCAGCATCATCTTCATCCAGAATAGTGAGTGGTATTAATTCTTTTTCAGATCACCCTGTTTTTCTCCAATCCTTTTTGTTGTGCTTATCAGCTCATCAGCTTCAGATTACTCTGACTCTATTAGACTTGATACAATTCTTATAAGCCTATGCTATTCTTTAGAGTTCTACTTTTGTTACTTGCTCTTGTTTACATTTTTTCTACATCCTTTTAAAATCCGTATGTCAGTGAGTGTCCAAATCAGTCTCTTCAACAAGTTCTTCTTTTTCCTCTTCAAAATAAATTTTGCTTGCTTTATTGTAATTTCATTCTTAACAACTTCCCATTCTTTAGTGATGCCTCTCCCTTTCAATAATAGGCCACTGGATCTTGGCTGTTCTTTTTCGGAACTTTTTGATATCTGCTTTCCCAACATAGCATGCATATTAAAAGGTGCATGACTTTCATTTTCTCTACCAAGAACTTAATAATGGAACAGTCACTTGCCCCCAGTGTTCCTATTGTTCCTGCTTCAAAAACCATTTCTTCCTTATTGGCCCGAATCAGGTCTAGATTAGCAATTCCATTGGTCGTTGCTTCTACCTTTTGAATGAAGTTACAACTTGACTAGCTGTTCTGCCATTGATAGAGAGAATGCCAACACAAGTCCTGATAACTGAAATCTCCTATCATTATACTATCATTGTTAGACTTATGACATTTTCATATTCCTTGTCTAATTCATCCTTCTTTTCAGGTGGTCTGTAGTATACCTCTATAATATTGCTTCTATTTCTACCTTCATTGATCTTTGGTCAATTGTTCTTCACTGAGAGAAACAATCATTAATAACCAATGATTTGGGGAGATCTATTTTCCCCTTTTTCTAAAGTCTTCATTTCAAGGCTCAACCTCTGAAAGACAGGACTGATGATAGCAGATAACTAACATATTTCTCAGTCTAGGTATTGCTACTCCATCCAACCTTACAAGAAATTTAATCTAAGGTGAAACTTCTGGCCCATTGTGTTCTATTCAGGTTTGGGTGGGGGATATAGATCCTTTGTCTAGATTTCCTGTGACTGGGGGTGATTTGGAAGTACATGCCTGTCCCCTAGTCCCTCATTATACTTATACTATTCATTCTCTCATTAATTTTTAACTAGAGTTGATTGCCACCCTCAGGAACATCCACTCTTCCAAGGGCACATAAACTGTGAGCCCACCACCATGATTTCTCTTTTGTCTAAGAGTGACCACTCCATTAATGAAAATATTAATAAAATGTTAGCATTATTAATAAAATGATTAATTACCCAGAAACTATGTCTCTTGAACTTTTTAAACATCATACCTCCATGTTTTTTCCCTTAATTTTCTGGATTTCCTCACAAGAATATGAATTTATATTCTAGGGCTGAATTCCAGACTCAAGTCCTAGTGATGACATAAGCTATGACATAGCTATGACACAAAATTTGCCTCCTTGCATTACTATCTTCAGTTAACCCTGTGTGTTGCTCATACTTTGTGTATTTGTATATATACATCTGAGACCATGAGTTTTAATGTTGGATCTCTTCTTGGATCTTTGTCTTCTGTTATTGGTACTCTCTTTTGTTATTCTTCTAATTATGTTATACATGCCACTAACTGTAGTACCAGGTTTATCAGATATATGGGAGCAGTTTTTTCTCTTCCATTTCCCTCTGTGGCTTTTGTAAGAGTCACAAGATTCTATGAAAGAATATTTTTTTCAGTCCTTGTAGGCCCTAATGTTTTATGCCATCTGTTATTCCAATATGAACCCCATTTTCAGACATCAATGTTTCCATGGGGGCTCAACTCTCAGAAATAACATTACCACCTTGCTATTTTCTTACGTACACTCATTTTTGCAATTTGCATTATTCTGCAAGTTCTGCAAGAAGACATTATTTCTAGGTAATATCTGAAGTATAGACATACCATCTTGAGGGATCTCATGATTATCTACACTGATCAAAAGAACCTGGAGCATCTTTAAATGACCCTTCAGCTCAACCAGCATTATTTTTTAAATCACATTTAATTTTATCATCACCTGCATTCCAATATACCTTAATTGTGAGCAAGCTAATAAGCTGTCATGAAAATTGGAATGCAGACACCCGCCTACTTGCTACTGTATGACCTCAGGGAAATCTCATCATTCTGATGGCATTTCCTTGAACTTCAGTTTCCAAATCTGTAAATGAGGAGGCTATACTAAACAATCATAGGTCCCTTCCCACTCAAAATCTATAACTGACAGACTGGCTGATTCATCCTGGGCCTTTAGTGATTAGTAAAAATTTAGCTTTTAAGTTCACAAGTTTTGCATTGCAGGTTGATAGGCTGTCAACTTTTGGATAAGCAAAAGATTATTCATGAATTTTTGAGCTTTTACCTCTTTCTTTGGACATTAGTTTTTGGTTTTTTTTAACCTGTAGTGGATCATGTGGTATAGCAGAAAGAATACTAGATTTAAATTTAGAACACCTGGGTTCAAATCCCAGCTCCACTATTTACTAATTGTGAGACACTGAGTAAGTCACTATACCTCCCCAAGGTTAGATTTCTCATCTGTAAAATGAGGGTTTTGGAATCTAAGGATCCCTTTTGGTTTATAGGATCATAGACTTTAAATCCCATAATCTTTTAATCCTTATTCTCAGTGATTATATAATCTTTTGTAGCATTTTCATTTATGAATAGCATATGCAAAACACATCAAATAACAAAAAATATTTCAAAGAAACACCTTCACTTCCAGTTCTTCAGATTTCAACCCAAATGGAACCAAAGCTGCATAGATCAGTGCTAGGTGATGAAGAGTTTTTCCTGTAAGGCAGTACCTAAAACAGAGCTCTGTTATTATATTGCTATTCATTTGTCATCCAAATGTAATTGTCAAAACGCTGCAGAAAACATTTCTCTATATTATAATATTATCGGAAACTTCTTGTTAAGGAAAGATTAACAATGGTATCTGAAATTAATTCTAGTTCTATGTAACCAGGATTTCCTATGAGGCATCTCATATATTTCTCTAGCATTGTTTTCCCAGTAGGTAAGGATAAAGGGTTCTGGAAAATAATAATTCAATAGGCATCTTCTTAAATCTTGCTACTTATAACACTATACATGTATAGGTCCTGCTGGGAACACATACCAAAGACAGGATCTATTCCTTAATCTGTATTTCCCTGTGCCTCTCTCTGTATATGTGGATAAATGAATAAGAGAGACGGTGGGGAGGCAGGGAGAAGAGAGAGAGAGGAAGAGAGGGAGGTAAGGGGAAGAGGTGGAGAGATGGAGAGGAGAGGGAAGAGAGAGAGACAGAGGAAGGGAGATGGAGAAAAAGAGAAAAGGGAGAGAGAGATGGAGTGAGGAGGGGAGAGAGAGAAAGAGGAGGGAGGTGGGGAGAGAGAGAGGAGAAAGGAGAGAGACAGAGACAGAAAGAGAGAAATAGAGAGAAAGAGAGAGGTTAAATGATTTACTTGAAGTCAAACACTACTTAGGAAGTAGAACTGAGGATAAATACCTTTATGTGATCTAGTTTATATGTCTAGCCACCATCATCCCATAAGTTAGCATATTGGGGTAGATAAGGTGAGAGTCAGAAAGAAAGTTAGTAGGGGGAAAATCACAGAGGCAAGGTCAGTGAAGTCAAAGCTCATTCTGATGTCAACATCCTTTCTCAAGATTGAACATCTAGACATGGCTTTCTAACTCCTTAATTAAGCATACACTATACTGTAAATTATTTGTTAGGTTGGTGAATTTAATAGGGGGTTGCCTTCATTTAAAATTACTTTTGTGTTAGGGAAACAAATATAGAAAGTCAAAGTAATTATAAGTATTTTAAAATTAACTTCTACTAAAGTTCTAGCTGTTTAATATTGGTTTACACCAAAATTAATGTAATGAAGCAGGGAAAGCCCTTTTTCTCTGCCTTGTGGACCAGCACAGAATTTTGGCTCTGATAATCATGGCCCTGAACTGCATGAGAAATGCAGTGGGGAAATGAGAAATAATGTGAAAAACTTAATACAAACAACATAAGCAAGTATAATGATTCCAGAAACATGACATAAGAGCAGTAATACTGAATAATAACTTAAAGGAATATAACATTTTCTTAATTTACCCATCCCATTAAACTTATTAAAGAAAACATTTTACGTTATAATATGTCAGCACAGGAGGAAATTGTTTACCTACTCTGAATTCAGTCTTTCTTTGGAGTACAAAATGACCCAACAGTAGCTGTACTGGATTGATAATGCTATCAACTTCAAAATGAAGTTATCTGATGCCTTTTCATAATTCAGTTCTTCCAGACTCTACCAAAAAACCAAAACAAAACAAAACATAAAATGTTTATGGATTTGAATACTTTTTTTTAAACTAAATTATTGGTATTGCTTTAAGACTTGCAAATTCCTTTTGAGTATATAGACTTATATCCTGCAACAGTTAAAATAAGGTAGACTGAGGCACAAAGTATGTGCCTCATGAGCATACTATTTATTGGTAAATTCATGCTTTATTAATGAATTCATTAGTAAATGTAGTAAGAGGGTTTGAGTGAACCCCCACACCAGAAGTCCTAGTCCTCCTTGAACACCCTACATATCCTATAGTTTTGGAGAGTACAGAAAATAGGAAGGCCAATATTATAGATGGAAGAAAATATGATTCGATGGAAATCTGGGAATGAGGGACAGCAACAATCCCCTCTTTACCTCCTGTGACTATGAAATGTTCATTGTTTGAGTCTGGCAGCATCTGCAAGGACAGAGATAGCAAACCAGACTTCTTTAGATAACAAACCAGACCTTCTTCAAGGACAGATTGGTGGTGTAAAGATACTAGACCAGACTCCCAGGTGTCCACCTGCTTCCTTCAAAGGTAACAGGTTTACTTGACTGAAGAATAGAACAGTGATTAATAAGAGAACTGGATTTCTAAACTTAGCTCATTACAAGCTAGCTAAATTCTGACCTGACTTCAGAGGCAAAGAACTATGACTTAGGCAGTTACAGGGAAAAAAAAATCAATTAACTGTAAGTAGGATCAATTAAAAAAAATGACACAGAATCAATCTGATTATTTCAGTCCCAATGTAACAATCAACATCGTAGGCATTAGGAAAAAAGACATGAGCAGAAGTCTTCTCATTTTAGAAAATGGGGCTCACAGTCCAACTAGATCCTAGACTTCAGGAAAGGAACTCTGCTGAGGGTATGTATGGTTGGATTATTTCAGAAGACAATTAAATATTTGTCTGATGATCTGTGGGAAAATCTGGATTTTTTGCATTTTGAGAGGTATAAAGGAATGTGGCCATCATTTGTCTTTCCCCAAAACTCTATTTGGTGTCCTGACATAATGGGGATTTGCTCAGGTTACTTTGTGGAGTTAGTCTAAATTTGTTTATCTGTTTATGAGCTAAGAAGTTTTGGGAGCCACACCCTACCCTGCCAATAACTGAATTAAGAGGAAACAGTTTAGCATGAGCTAGGTGCAGAAGTAAAAACTAGCTCCACTGGAATCCCAGTAGATAGAGAAAAGAAGCATCATCATTTTGGGACTAGTTGCAGGAAAGCAAGTATATCTAAGTTAGCACTAAAGGTCAGTTAGGATTCATGATTGTCAAAACTAGCTAAAGCTTTATGAAGCAGAACTGTACAGACTTGAGACTAGCCTAAAGCACAGATTTTTAAGTGAAACCAACCATAGTATTGAGATGGTTTTTCAGGAATTTTTTTCTGGTAAATTATATGACTCTGTATATCCTGGCCATAGGGCTAATATTGAAAGGAGGAAGGAAATGGTATTATTAACATTTTTTCTCGGGGAAATGGAATATATCTTGACTATCTCTGCTCACATGAAAAGTTACTATACAAGTATATTTTTCCCTAAGTCATTTGCAACTGCCTCTCTGGATTTCATTTCCTTATCTGTAAAGAGATTATATATTATGATCAGGAATGTAAGGTTTATTCAATAGAAGGAAAAGTATAAACATAATAGACTGTATTTTAACAAAAATAATAAAAGTTGTGGCATTGTATCAATAGAAACTGAAAAAGTTTTTGTCAAAGGGCAAATACTACCTATCTAAAACCTACAGCCAACATTATATGTAATGGAAAAAGGTTAAAGACCTTTCCAGTAAGTTAAGGAATAAGGCCAGGATGTTCAATATCATCACTACTATTTGATTAGTTCTATAAACACTATAGTAATGACAAGAATAAGAAATTGAAGGAATAAGCATAGGCAAAGAGAAAAAAAAAGTTACTACTTTTTGCAGAGGATAAAATAGTTCAGCTAGAGAACCTTAAGGTCAATTTTGTTTATACTATAAAAAAGAAGATAAAATTAAACAAAGAAAATATAAGGCTTAACCTCAGAGTGAACCAGTGTGAACTTATTGCTATATTTCACCCTCTAGACCAGTATTTCTCAACCACAGCACCTTTGTCCACAAAAAATGAATGAAACAAACAAAAACAAGCTTATTAAGTGCCCGCCATGTGCCAGGAACTGTGCTAAGCACTTTATAAATATTTTTTCATTTGATCCTCATAAGGTACGTGCTGTTATTATCTCCATTTTACAATTTAGGAAACTGAGGCAAGACAGAGATTAAATGACTTCTCCAGGGTCACATAGCTAGTAAGAGTCTGAGGCTGAATTTGAACTCAGGTTTTCCTGACTCTAGGCCCAGTGTTGTATCCACTGTGCCTAGAAGCCAAAATTTTTACCACCAAATTCATAAATAAACTCATGTTAGCAGCCAGAGCCTCCCTAACATGGCTCCTTCTAGGTCTATTACAATCAAGGGGTAACTAAATATCTCAGTCAGCTCATGGGCCTTTGTCTCCACTGAATCATTCTGACTAAGCCAGAATAAGATGCTTAAAGCAGAATATAAGATGAGTAACAAGGCATCAATCAAGCTGCAAGTACTTACTACCATTTTCAAAGCCTCTCCTGTGACTAAATTCTACTTTCCATCCCATTCTACTTGTATAATTAACACAGGAGGGACACAAGTAGTTTTATTCATACTATTACAGAATTTAGTGCCCAGAAGCAGGTCTGCCAGGTCACTCTCTTATTTTTGTTCCTTATGCTGGCTTTTCTCCCTTCTTTTAAAAATTTATTTTTAAAATTCTGGACTTAACAAACACTAAATAAAATGAGCATTTCCATACGCTAAGCACAACAAAAAAGAGAATTGATTGTATATGAAATTGTGAGTCTCTATGCAAAGCTTGCTTTTCTTTTTAAGTATATAATAAATTCAACATATAACTCTTTTTTTTAACATATAACTTTCAAAGCTGTTCTGCTTGTCTATGTTTCCTTTTAATCTTCCTTTCATTCTCTTTTGTGCATCTAAAAATGTTTTAATGATTTTTTCTTCCTTTCTTTTGGAGCAACCCTATTGCTAGTCATATTTTTACCACATTTTTCTTTTTTAAAAAGTGTTTTGTTAATGTATTTTGTCTCTACATCAGTCATTTCACTCCCCTCTACCTCCAGACTCAACCCTCGTTGATGGATGAAGAAAAACAATTAAGGAAAAACATCTAATACAGTGCTTGCATCTGACAATGCATGCAATATTTTATATCAGTAGTTCCCTGTCTCTTTGCTATGGGGAAGTGGTGGTGGCGGGGGTGGAATATGTTTCATTGGCTGCTCTCTAGCTCCTTCTTTTTAAAAAAGTTATTTATTTTCCAATTAATAAGCATTTATTTTCTCTCCCTCTCATCTCCCTCCCCCACTGGAAAAAAAAAAGAAAAAAAAGAGAAAAATCCTTGTAAAAAATATGCATAGTTAAGCAAAAGAAATTCCCACATTGATCTTGCCCAAAAATGTGTCTCATTCTGCATCTTGAATCCATCACCTCTCAGAAGAGGGGTAGTACACTTCTTCATTTGTCTTCTAGAATCATGATTGGTCACTGCATTAATCAGAGTTTTTGTGTTTTTCAAAGTCATTTGTCTTTATAATGTTACTGGATTAACTTTTTTTCTGGTTTTGCTCATTTCATTCTTCATTAGTTCATACAAGTCTCTCCAGGTTTCTCTGAAATCATCCTTTTTGTCATTTCTTATAGGACAATAACATTCTATTACATTCATATATTATACTGTGTTCAGTGAAAGGGATAGTTTCAATTTACATAGTTGTATTGCTTTTTTTCTTTCCGATGTGAGGGAGAGAAAAAGCAGGGGACAGCTAACAATATTGTATACATTGTCAGATATAGTCACTGTATTAGATGTTTTTCCTTAATTATTTTTCATGGATGGAGTGAGACGGAGTTCCTGGCTGTTTATGCTCCTTTTGCGTATTACAAGAACATGGAAGATTTAAGTCCCTCCTCCCCCTTCTCTTTTCCTTGCAGCTCTTAGATGATTTTTATATAATTTCTTTAAGTTGTTTCTATAAAATTATGGTTGAGCATAACTTCTTTGTGATTTGTTTTGTCTTTGAAATCTGAAAACATGGGGCTGCAATGGAGGAGCCAATAAAGGGTTTGTGTACAGAAATAAGAGTCTTATTGTCAGAGGCTTAAGGGAAAGGAATTTTTTTCTTTTTCCTCCTGCTTTTCCCCTCTAGTCTTCCTTACTCTTCCCCTCCCCGCCGGCTCCCAACCCCATAACATACTAGGAGCTGAACTGAATGTTTTTTATTTTTATTAGTAATTCTTATACGCTCTTCAAGACAGAGATAGATGAATCATGTAATTGGGACTATTCACCTTTAGGCTACTGAGTCATGAGGTCTAATGATGCTTTAGGTATCCAGAGTAAGGGGCAGAAGGGCCAAGGGAAGATCACACCACTTGGAGCCATTCAAAGTACTCTAAGAAAAGAGGCCCAAACTCTCTCCCCAGCATCAAATTCTGAATCAGAGGGGCAGAAGAGATGGAATCTAAACCTCCACACCTAGCACTACCTGATGGCTACCCTCATGTTAGTCAGTTACTTCTCTAATTTGTTTTCTTCACCTTTGCCTGAACAGTCTTTCTAATATACCACTTTGAGCACGCCATTTCTTTATTTGAAAACTTTCAGTAGCTTCTCACTATCTAAGGGAACAAAGTATATTCATCATGCTGGCATGATAAGATCTTTGCAAGCTGGATCTCACCTACTGTTCCAGTCTGATTTTATACTCTCCCCCTTCATTCTGGTGGGCCAGAGGAGATTGTTGCTCTAGTCCCCCTTTCTCATAGTACTCTTCACTTTCATGGGGCACTGATTCTTGCCCTTCTCTATACTTGGAAATGGCCTGTCCTTTATACTTCAGTCTCTTAGGTCACTCCCTTGCTTAAAAGCCCACCTCAGGTACCACCTTTTCGAGCAAGCCTTACCAATTCTCTCCCTTCCCCTAGATGAACAGAGTTGCTCTCTCCTCAAATTTTTCTAACAGTGCTCCTTTGCTCTCATTTCACTATTCCTTTTGTCTTAGTTATTCGTGTACACTTTTAAACCTCCTTTAGAGCACAGTCTGGGTCAATCAATCAACATTTATTAAGCACTTACTATGTGCCAGGCACTGTGCTGAGTGCTGGTGATACAAAAAGAGGCAAAAAGACAAGTCGTTACCTTCAAAAACTTTACCATCTAATGGGGGAGACAACATGCATACACATATATACAAACCACCTATATACAGGATAAACAGGAAATAATTAAAAGAGGGGAAGCACTAGAATTAAACAGGGTTAGGGAAAGCTTCCTGTAGAAGGTGGGATTTTAACTGAGACTTAAAGAAGCCAGGAAGATCAGTAGTTGGAGCAGATAAGGGACAGAATTCCAGACATGGGGCACAGTCAGAGAAAACACCCATAGCTGAGATGGAGTGTCTTGTTTGTGGAAGAGCAAGGAGACCAGTGTCACTGGATGAAAGAGTACGAGGCAGGGAGCAAGACTAGAAAGGTAGGAAGGGGCTAGGTTATGAAGGGGTTTGAACACTATGAAGAAGATTTTGTATTTAATCTTGAAGACAATAAGGAACTACTGGTTTACTGAATAGGGGAGTGACATGATTGGACCTGCACTTTAGGAAAATCACTTTGATGGATGAATGGAGGATGGACTGGAGAAACTTGAGGCAAGCAGACCCATCAGCAGGCTATTGCAATAATCCTCACATAAGGTGATGAAGACCTGCATTAGAATGGTAGCAGTGTCAGAACAGAGAAGGGGGCATAGAGGAGACATGTTGCAAAGGTGAAATCAACAGGCCTTGGCAACAGATTGGATATGGGAGGTGAGAGAGTGGGGAATCTAGGATGACTTCTAGGTTTTAAACCCAAGGGACTGGGAGGATGGTATTGCTCTCTACAGTTATGGGGAAGGCAGGAGGGAGGGAGAATTAAGGGGGAAAGCTATAGAGTTTTGTTTTAGAACCTATCTTTGTATGCTCAGCTCTTAGAACAGTGCTGTGTATGCAGTAGGTGCAGAATTGTAAGTGAAAGTAAGGGAAGGACAACCTGAGGCTTTGCCCCAGGTCACTGATATTTGAGGATGACCTGGGTTTGTATTCTCTTTAGCTTTTGTTATCTTCTGCTAATCTGCTTTGGACCAACATACTTAGGAGGCTATTGCAGATAAGCTCCTCTCCCAGGGCTTGCCAAGGTCATCCTCTTCCTCACCTAGCCAAATGAATCTGCCCTAGGTACTACAACTGCTAGTTATGGTTTTGTATAGATTTTTATATATGTTTGTTCAACTGAATTAAAATGACACTAAATGTCATTGGCCATAGAAGTGGAACATATACACTAAATAAAAAACACAGTGACAACCAAATTATAACTACTCAAACAGAAAACAGATCAGAAAAGAACAGAGATGGGGCAGGTCAGGTGCACAGTGGATAGGGCACTGGCCTTGGAGTCAGGAAGACCTGAGTTCAAATCCAGTCTCAGACACATAATACTTACTAGCTATATGACTCTGGGCAAGTCACTTAACCCCAATTGCCTCACCAAAAAAAAAAAAAAGATAGAAAGAAAAAAAAGAAAAGAACAGAGAGAAAATAAATTAAAATTTTGTTAAATTTCAAATTTAAAGTTGTTTTTAATTCTCTTTTTAAAAACAAACGTTAATAGTTCAGGTTTTGTGGTTCTATTTGTTTCAGCTCCATATTGTTTTTCAATTTTTTACCTGTTGTGATATCAGTTAATAAAAATTATTTAAAAAACAAACATCTCTCTCTCCTCTCTCTCTCACACACACACACACACACACACACACACACTCACACACACACCCCTGTATTTTGTTATTTCTTGCCTTTTAAAATCCCAAGGGATCTGACTTCTGTGAACTGAAAGCCAGCTCCTTTTTCTCTTTTCAGCTAGACCTATTTGATAAAACAAGTAAGTCCTTAATGATCTATTGCCCTTTTCTTTGAAATAATCTTCTTTCACAGTCTCAATGACAAACTAATAATGACACTATTATTAGACTTGGAGACAGACAGATATATTATTTTCTTTTTACTTAAGTTTGTTTTCTTGAGCACTTAGCCTTACCTGAATAATTATGGCTGTGCCCTCATCAACTGTCACCACCACATAACGATCTGTATCCCCAAACTGTTGTAAGGACTCACTGCAACACCTTTCCACTACAGTTATATTGTAGCTGTAAAAACACAATTAACTTAGCTGAAATAGTGAAACTTCTAAGAGAAATTTAAGAAAATCTCTGTTGCGTCAATGTTCATTATATTGCCCTTATTACATAATTTCCATGTCCACTCTATCCATTCTTAGTGGTTTGGGGCATGTATATTGGGATGGGAATAATTTTCTACCTCTGCATAAAGAAATTAAAAAGTATTCTTACATATGTTATGCAAGTTTTTGAATCCAGAAGGATATTATTATAGAAACCACAGAAAATATCTAGCATATTTGTACCTATGCTAAAATTAGGCTATCTGGGGCTTACTTGGATTCTAGTAGCTGAAGTATTTCTGGTGTGTTAAGCAGTCCTTCAGATGTGAGAAACACATACGGGATTTGAATTTCCAAAAGAAAACCCCCAAATCTGTCCAGCGAGGCACTTTCTACGTAAAAGAAAAATTTTACTTGTTTACATAGATAAGTGGGTATATAGAAACATATACACACACATGCAATCTTTTGTTAAAACAGAAAAAAATGATAGGGATTTGTATCCGGATTATTCTTTTATTTAAGGAACATATACATTGACCATTTTCCTGAGGAAGACAGAAGGAAAACCTCTGAAACCTTTAAATATTCCTATTTTGGATTAAGAATAATTTTTAGTCCTTTTATGAAGATCTAATATTTAAGAATATTATCATTGGAGAAGGATCAATTCAACTTTCACTGCTATGTATCAAAGATTGCAAAGATGTCATTAAGGTGATCAAGTCTTCAGAACTAGTTTGGAATTCCCAGCCTTGGCTCTGCTCTCCTACACACACCTAAAGCCTGATGGAAAGTGAGAGATAATAAGACAATCACTTGGGGTAAGATCCATGGGTAGGTACAATCTGTGATAGAGACAGAGGACTCATAATGATATGTTACTACCAGCATTTCAATTCTGTTCTGTAATTATTATTCAATGCTCTAGGGTACCAGGATATGGTCAATTTAACTACTTTGGAATTGCCAACTTAATCATTTGATTTACTGCTAAAGTAACGAGGAGCCAAGGTGACTGAGTTTGGTTTTATATCCCTATCTAAAATATTTGTGGGTAGCTGGTATTTGGTATCTATTAAATGGTCACTGCCCATTTAATGAGGATTGCTTAAAACAGTATTAATTTAAAAATGCATTACACACAAACTAAATAAAAGGGTTCACTATCATAAACACAATTCATGTTTAATTAATTACCTTTCTTAGGCATCTGGTGTTTATTAAACCTTCATTTTAAGCAATATAACAGAAAAGATTTAAGAAATATTTAGGGTATAAACAAACAACAAATTTCAACCAGAATTGAGAAACTGGTAATTTGGAACTTTCCTTACTTTTAAAAACTCCATCTGGGAGAACTGTTTTAAAGGTCATGTAAGGAATATCCAATTGTTTACAATGCTCAGTCCAGCAACAATTTTCTCCATAATTATATTCCACCATGAATGAGAATTGAGTCCAGGGAAAGTCGGGTCCAATATGTCGATTATGTATAACCATGCAGGAACACTTCTTAAGGCTAGAAGAGCCAAGAAAACAGCATTAAAATTATGAGTTTATCCATGGAATGGGTAAGCTTAAATACACTTCACTGAGAATGTTAGCTTAATGACAGTAAAGGGTCATGATTCCTGGCTGTTTTATTCCCTAATCCCATGTGTCTACTAATCTAGGAAAAGCACCAGTACAATTTCTGTTTAATTTACTGTCCAATCTGGTTTTCCTCTTTTCCTGTTCCTCCTATTTGCCCCCAATGAAGTAAAGAACAATAGCCTATTTTTATGTTCTGAAATGCTGTATTACTTTTTTCTGGTTTTCCTCAAACACTACCAATATCTAGCAGAAAAATCATAATCAGAAATTCTTCTATAATTGTTCAAAAATCTCATCCTTTTCAAACTGACAACATTACATTGCTTGACACCTTTGGAAATGTTACATCTACACTTATATCTGTATGTATAAAGAGGATATCTGAATAATTTTAGAAAACAGATCAATTTTAGAAAACATATTACAGTTCTGCTTTCCCATCTAACTTCATTTAGGGTAGTGACTACATTAATTATCATTTTCTATTGCCACTTTCTCAACTGCTAGCACAATCTTGAATTTTTAGCAATTACAAAATAAAATGTGCTTTCAGTTACAAATTGTTTACATTTGTATTATTATGTATTTCCATTTGGTTATTTGGATCTTAAATATTATTGAAATAGCTATTGCTACAGGAGATAAACATATGTGTTTTGAATTATTTGGTCCAAATATACCTTACTTTTTCCTTATTTCCATGTCATGAAATAAAGCAGAGCTAATGAGCAAAGTGTTTTTACATAAATTAGCTTGTATCAGTGGCCCATTGATATATACCTTTCAAATGGGTATTGTTTCTTCCATCAGCAAATGCTAATTGCTCATGTTAGAGAAGAAGACTATGGAAGGATTTTTAATTAGGCCTTATCCTATGGTTGGGGATCACACCCTTACTTGTGGGTATTCTGCCCAAAGGAATATAAATTTTGATGACTGAAACCTAGCAAGATATCTTGGGATTTACAGGCCAGGTTTCTTTTTTATGGACTACATGCCTTAAATACAAATCATTCTGGCTCTCATAGATTGGCCAACAATAGGTCCCAGCCCAAGCCTCACTTGGTTTCTGACGGCTCAGTGTGAGAGTAAATAACAATTGTTTCTGTTTTGGCCAGAAACTCTGAAGGTCTTTCTTTTAAGAGACCATTCTTTAGCTTATTTTTGCCTAGCCTAAATCACTGAATGGGTGTTGCCTCAGACAAACAGACATGGGAAAGATCTTAGCTTAAAAAGGCCAAGGTCTCTCACTGCATTCGAGGCCATCTCCAGTCATCCTAATCTATATCTAGATATCTACATGTCACTTGACCCAGATGGCTCCTGAGGAAAGGGTAAGGCTGCTGACTTTGCACAGCCCTGCCTCACTTAAATCCAATTCATGTGCAAGTCATGATATCACCTTCCTGATGTTATGGTCCTCTTCCAGAACGAAGGGCAAGCAACAGCAATCCTATGGTTAGACATAACTGAAAAGACTACGTCTATTTATAACTTTATGTCTCTCAAGGTATATGAAAGTTTCCCTGTAGTGAGTGAACATTACATTTTTTTAACATTTTAAAATCAATTCCACTAAATCTAATTTTTCTATAACTATGACTGAAAAATGTTAATTTAGCTAGGTATAATATAGAATTTTGAAATGCAAATCTGAATGTATAGCAGGAGTGGAGACTGGAAAGGACTTGAGCAATGAAAAAAGAGCTGAGGTCTCTATGAAAATAACTGAGCAGCCTTCTCCCATGTTGTGTGAGCTCCAGGTACAAGAGAAAGAGAACCAGGAGAACAGACAGACGCTATGACTCTTCATGCTGGGCTGAGGTGGGGGCTGCGATGCTCTAGCTAATTCCAGTATGTGGCACATCCATGAGTGCTGTTCCTTTGAATACACAAAGCTATTAGCTCAACAACTTTGGTCTACGTTTCTACTCTACTTTAGCTACACACAGGAGGGTTCATACCTTTCATCTTGTCATTGCCCATCAATGTGCTACTTTCACGATAGAAAACATTGAAATCCCTTTTTTTGATCACAGTCTTCTAACATTCCTATGCCTCACTCTTTCCAAATCCATTCTTCCCTCACTCTCACCTGCACTCTCTCTACTCCTCGATATTTCACCAGACTATCAACCCCTACTCTGTCTATACTCTCTTCCCTCCCAATCTTGAATTCTTAGTGAACTCTTTGCATTTCAACTCTACACTCTACTGTCAAATTTCTTGTTTCTTTGCTCTATCCCCATACACAACTTGCCAAACCCCAAATTTGGATTACTTTTAGCATTTGCTTCCTCCACTCCTACTCATGTGCTGTTGAATGGAGCTAAAGGAAGTCTTATAATCATGTTGAATGAAGCTACTACAAATTTCTATTATCTAATCTTTTGCAAAAAGGTAATCTTTTTAACTCTTCTTTACTGAATCTCCTTCCTAACAGCAATTGTTCTGAACCTTTACTTCTCCCCTCAAGCCTCTAGCAGCAACCCCTCCTCCTCCCATATTCTCATATGAAATCCTTGCCTTATGCTTTACGGAAAATGCTGGTTGTCCACTTAGAACTTCTTCCCCTTGCCCCTACCTCATTTGACAATCTCTTTTCCTCATATGACAATCGTTCCCTTGACATCATCCTCTACAATTTCCTCTTTCACTTGAGTTTTTGATGAAAGATGATTGGGTTTTACTGGAACCCAGATTTTCCAATGTAAAGTCCAATCTTTCATTTTTTAAAAATTTAATTTTTATTGATATTTTTTCACTCTTACATCACCTAAATTTCCAGATCTTTGCTACCACAAAAAAGTGCTTCTACGTATATTTTGGAGTATATGGAAACTTACTTTTTAATCAATGACCTCCTTGGGCTTTATACTTTATAGTAGAATATATGAGTCAAAGAGTAATGACTTTTTAGTTACTTTATTATGTAATTCCAAAATGGTTATACTAATTCACAACTCCACTAACAATGCATTAATGTGCCTATCTTTACACAACCCTTCCAACATTGACTATTCACATTTTTTTGGTCATTTTTGCCAGTTTTCTAGGTGTGAGATGGGACCTCAAGGTTGTTTTGATTTTCATTTTTCTTATTATTAGTGAGCTGGAGGATTCTTTCATATGGTTGTTAATAGTTTATAATTCTTTTAAGAACTGTTTGTATCCTTTGATGAATGGTTTTATAATAATCCTCTTTAATACTGTTTTTTTTTCATAGTAATCAAAGTACTCTTTAGATTTTCTTTCATGAAAGATCACATCAATGAGAAGAGATATTACAGATATCTCAGTAATTATAGCAGTGATGAAAAACCCCAGAATTACTTAATTTTCAGGCATCCAACTCCGTGATTTTTTTTCATCAAAATCAAGTTCTCTCTAATCATTTGGTGGACTAGAATGTAACATAAGGTCTGTTATATGGCAACCAGGTGGTGCAGAGGATAGATGCTGGGCCTGGAGTCAGGCAGACCCGAGTCCAAATAAGGTCTCAGACACTTATTAGCTTTGTAACTCTGGGCAAATCATTTAACCTCTGTTCATTTTAGTTTCTTCAACTGTAAAATGGAGGTAACAATAGTACCTACCTCTCAGTATTGTTGTGAGGATCAAATGATTTGTATAGCGCTTAGCACAGTAACTGGCTCATAGTAGGTCCCATACAAATGCTAGCTACTGTTGTCACAAACAATTTCTAAATAGCAAACCAGGAAAATCCCCAAAGATTATTCTCTGGAAATAATCTCCAAGAGTGGTACACCATTGCTATTTTCTTACCCAATTCGAATATAGAAAAAAGTGAAGATCACCTCGAAGGCCATTTGACATTTCCCTTTTGGACTTGAATATTTTGAAATCATTAGCCATAGGATAATATAGGTAAAGAACAACAGATACTGATTAAAGAGTCAACCACCCTTAAAAAAATAAATTTGACTCACCCATTCAAAACATCATTGGGTTCCAGTAACACTTTTCTTTTTTCAGGAGATAAAGAAATACATCCTAAACCTGACTTGTCAAGAAAATGGAAAATAAACATTTTTCAATGTTCTTAATTTTATAAACTTCTTTCTAAAGTGACATAAAATGACTTCATTTAACTACCAAGAAATATATTTAATGATATCTCCAAAAAGGCTACTTCTTTGTGAGAGCTCAAATGATTTTTTAAAAAGGATTTAGAGTGTTGTTGTTGCTGTTTTTAGCACTCACACAACAGAAAACATATGACACAGGTTATATATCTGGGATATGTACATGTTTTAAACAAGACAGATGTTCAGTTTTTACTTTTTGAATCTCTGTGGAATTGAAATACTTAATTTTAAAATATCCATATTAAACATCTACCATTTGTGTAACTAAGCCCATCTCATTAGAAAATCATAATGAAATTTCCCCCCCTTCAAATAGGAAGTCTGAATATAATTGTAACGCCCAATTCTAGGTAACAACTTGTACTCACACTGGCTGAGTTGAGTTCACCTAGAGAGTGGTGACTAAAACTATATATTTTAATCTCAATAGAATTTATCCCAACACAGTGGGAAAATTAGTATTTTGTCATCCTTTCTATGAAACATTTAAATATCACCCTGCAAAATATAGAAGAGTCATTAGGGAATTGTTATTCTTCACAGTTACTCCAGCTGCTCTCAAATTTACTTTAAAAGCCCTATTTTATTTTTCACCAGAGTATATAGAAAAACATACTTTAAAATATACTAGCCCAGAGAAAGAACTGATGGAATCTGAAAGCAGATTGAAACATACTATTTTCTCATTTTTCTTTCATTTTTTTCCTCTGATCTGTTTCTTCTTTCACAATATGATTAATATGAAAATATGTTTTACATGATTGCATATATATAACCTATATCAAATTGCTTACTGTCTTGGGGGGAAGGTTAGAAAAGGAGGGAGAAAATTTGGAACTCAAAATTTTAAAAAATTGAATGTTAAAACTTGTCTTTATATGTAATTAGGAAAAATAAAATATTATTAAAAAATAAAAAATGTACCAGCATATGCACATCTCATTAATTCTTATAGGACAACATTTAAATATAAGAAATGCTGGTTGTAGGGATGGCAAACTATCTACTATATCATAGTGTAATCACCTGTAGAATGCAAAAGAGTGGCATGCTAGGCACATAGTGTGTGTGTAATCAGTTCTTTCTGAGTGGATTTGATGGTTTGGATCCAGAAAAATAGAAAGAAAATGCATGCTGTCTCTTTCCTCATAATCTCCTCAGGTCTACTCACATTATTTAAAGTCCTGATTTGATGTATTGATTTATTAATTACATATGCAAACATATTAGCTACTTGTTAAATGCACTGATTAAGAGCTTGTAAACTCAGAAAGATGGAGGCATGTATTAACTTTATAATATTACACAAGAGAAAAAGCCTAGTCAGTAGTAACCAAAGACAGTTACTGTAATCAAAGTTGAAAGAAACAATTTTCAGCTGTTTAGTCAATGTTTTTGTAAGGACCTCAAGATAGAAGATGAGAAAATATTGAGATCAGGAAGACAATATGATACTTAAGTTAATAAAAGCCATCCACTAGAAGTAATAGTTTCAGGAATAACATCCTACAGTGTGATTTGGAGACACATTGCTATGAAAGTAAGATATTTTGCTATATATCAGATACAGAGCTATATACACACACATATGTATTATGTTACTTCAACACTTCAAAATATGTAATTTTGTCATTGTAAGCATCTCCTTACACCAGTGCAGAATGCAACCCATATTACTCACTAGGTAGTCTTCAAGAATTGATATGGCAAAACAACAAAATCCCCTGCAGTCTAACTGATGAAAAACCTCTCTGAATTCAGCTAGACTGTTGCATAGCACACACACAGTACAACCATGGGCCCCAACTCAAAGTCTTTTCAATGGGGTAGATGCTGCTAGAGCTTGTGTTCCATTGTTATAGCTTCTGAGAACCCAGGGGCTATTTCCACACCAAGACAAAGCATTAGCATAGGCTCTTAGTAGAGTCTGCAACTGCTGAGTGTAAGGGAGGAGTTAGCGTTTCTTTCTTTTTAAAACTAATTAATTAATTTATTTTTAGTCTTCAACATTCATTTCCATAAAATTTTGAGTTTTAAATTTTCTCCCTCTCCCCACCCAAGGTGGCATGCAATCTGATATAGGCTCTACTTATACATTCATATTAAACATATTATTTTCCCATTAGTCATGATGTAAAGAACAATTAGAACTAATGGGAGGAACCACATGAATGAAGCATTAAAACAAAACAACAATGGAAAAGAAGAGCAAATAGTATGCTTCCATCTGCATTCAGACTCCATAGTTCTTTCTTTGGATGTGCATAGCATTTTTCATCATGAGTCTTTTGGGGTTGTCTTAGATCCTTGTATTGCCAAGAAAAGCCAAGTCTATCAAAGTCAGTCATCGTACAACGTGGCTGTTACTGTGTACAATGTTCTCCTGATTCTGCTCATTTCCCTTAACATCAATCCATATAAGTCTTTCCAGGTTTTTCTAAAGTCTGCCTGCTCATCATTTCTTATAGAACAATAGTATTCCATTACATTCATATACTACCACTTGTTCAGCCATTCCCCAATTGATGGGCATCCCCTCAATTTCCAATTCTTTGCCATCACATATAGAGCTGCTATAAATATTTTTGTACATGTGGGTCCTTTTCTCGTTGTTATGATCTCTTTGGGATACAGACCTGGAAGTGGTATTACAGGGTCAAAGGGTATGCACAATTTTATAGTCCTTTGGGCATAGTTCCAAACTGCTCTCCAGAATGGTTGGATCATTTCACAACTCCACCAACAATGCATTAGTCTTCCAATTTTCCCATATCTTCTCCAACATTTATCATTGTTCTGTTTTGTCATGTTAGCCAATCTGATAGGTATGATGTGGTACCTCAGAGTTGTTTTGATTTGCATTTCTCTAATAAATAGTGATTTAGAACATTTTCCGTATGACTATAGATAGCTTTAATTTCTTCCTCTGAAAACTGTCTGTTCATATCCTTTGACCATTTATCAGTTGGAGAACAACTTGTATTTTTATAAATTTGACTCAGTTCTCCATATATTTTAGAAATGAGGCCTTTATCAGAGACACTGATTGTAAAAATTCTTTGTTGTTGGTTGTTATTTTAGGCAATGGGGTTAAGTGACTTGCCCAGGGTCACACAGCTAGTAAGTGTTATGTGTCTGAGGCCGGATTTGAACTCAGGTCCTCCTGAATCCAGGGCCAGTGCTCTATCCACTGAGCCAGCTAGCTGCCCCTGATTGTAAAAATTCTTTCCCAGTTTTCTGCTTCCCTCCTGATCTTGGATATATTAGCTTTGTTTGTGCAAAAACTTTTCAATTTAATGTAATCAAAATTATCCATCATATCTTTAAAGTGGCAAATGATGAATATTTTGGAAGGAGTAAGAAATCTTTTTAGATTTGTATTGGACCATTGGTAGGGGAGGTGTGAGGAAGTTGGAAAGATGTTACTTATTTGGTAAGAAGTGAGGATGAGAGATTAGTGGAGGAATAATGAGTATCTACCTTAATGAGATCACAGTAACAATAGATTATGATGCTCAGAGGACTTAGTATTTGTCTATATGACAAAATTAGGAAATCAGACTGGGGTGAAAGTGAATTCTTGAATTACATTTTAGTAGTTGATTTCAAGACAATAAAGAATAAAAACTCTAAATAATACTTTTTAAAAGTACCTAAGATATAACCTGTCAAAAAATGTAAACCCAGATAACAGAGGGTATTGAGGAGGGTGGTTAACAGTGTGTCAAATACAGTAAGAAGGATGAGGACTGAGAAAGCATAATCAGATGTGGCAAATAAGAGATCATTAGTAACTTTGAAGAGAGCAGTTTGAGCTGAAGGATGAAGTTGGTAGCCAAATTACAAGGGCTGAGGAGTAAGTGAGAAGTGGGGAAACACAGGCAGTGATTATAAATAGTTTTTTCAACTAGTTTGGCTAAGAAAGGGAATAACAACATAGGATGATAGCTTTAGAAGATGACAGGATCTAGTGAAGGTATTTTAAGGATACCATGTTTGAAGCCAATAGGGAAGAAACCAGTAGAAGAAAGAGTTTGAAGATAAGAGAAAGGGAACAAATGATTTAAGGGCAATCCACTGGAGAAAATGGGAGAGGCTTAGATAACGAGGAAAAAGAAGTAACTCATCAACAGAAAATGGAGGAAAGGAAGAATGAATTAAGGATGTTAACAGTTTCTGAGATGGATAGAAGGATATGGTGAACAGACTCAATTTTCACAGTAAAATGAGATCCTCAGCTGAGAGGCATGCTATGCCTCATGTTTAGCAATTTTTCAGCCTTGGAGTACAATAATGTTTACATACTAGCTATGCCTCAGATAATTGTGCATATAGGCAGTTACTAATGAATTTGCATACTGGAAATTAAATTCTTTTCACTCATTTAACTCAGCATCACTGAACTAAAGTGGGAAAATCATATTTTACTCAACTTTCCTAATATGAAAAAGGAAGATGCTCTCCTGAAAGAATGCAATGAGGCTAACAATTGTTACACCTCTACAAATAGAGAACATAGACATTGCATAAATAACATAACATGTTTCTCTATATTCTTGAACTATATATTGAATTCCAGGCATTGTCTTAAAAAAATTACATTGAAATTGTATTGAGCTGTATTGAAATTACAGCTAGGTGGCACAGTGGATAGAGCACTGGGTCTGGAGTCAGGAAGATCTGAATTTAAATCCAGCCTCAGACATTTACTATGTGACCCTGGGCAAGTCACTTAACCCTGTTTGCCTCAGTTTCTTCATCTATAAAATGAGCTAGAGAAGGAAATGACAAATCACTCCAGCATCTTTGCCAAGAAAACCCCAAATGGGGTCATGAAGAGTGGGACACAACTGAAATGACTGAACAAAATTAAAATTAATTAAATAACAAAGAAAAAGAAATACTAACCTTTTATTTTGCTAAGTTTTTCAATAAGGAAACAATGTTCATCATCTGAGTCCATTCTTGTTATAATTAGCACCTGGTCAAAGTAAAAGAAAATTCATCATTTACGTATGCGAATGAGAATTCCATCTGAAAGGATTATTAAAATGACAAATTCCAACACAGTGCACTAGTCTTATGTAAAGTATGAATGACAATACAATTCAATTCAATTCAATCAACACTTATTGAATATCTATCACACCAAGCACTTTGCTAGGTGATGATGAGACAAGGACAAAAACTAAGGACTTAATTTTTTCACCACCAGAAGCAACCACTCTGTACCCTCACTGTTCTGGTGAGGATTGTCAACTATTTACCAAAGGTTTAGTCCAAAGAAACAAACAGAACCAGTTTCCCTCTTAACTGAAGGTTTGTCCTATGAATGAACAGAATGGGTTCCCCCTTACAAAAGGGTTTGTTGAAGAACAAACAGAATGGGGTTCACCTTATCAAAGGTTTGCCCAAGGAACAAACAGAATCAGGCTGTACATGTACTTATTTATTGCATGGATGGGAGTCAGAGAACAATTCTGAATTCAGAGGTAAGTAAGCTGAAGGAGACCCTTTTTACACTTAGAGCAGTCCCAACTCAGGATGCCTGTGTCAACCAAAATTATAGTCTCCATATGTGTTAACCATAATATGAGAAAAGAATTTTCTTAATAGGACAGATTGTAAATACAGTAAGATAAATGTTGAAGTGTCCATTGAAATTATAGTTCCAGGATGTTTGTTTCTTCCATCATTAACATGACATACCATAACATAATATGTGTCCATAAAATACCAAGATAAGAAAAGTCCCATTATGCAAGATTGTGTCTGGTTCAAGGTGCCTTGTCCTTGGCAGTCATAAACAGAAGAATGCTCCTGGTCAGCCTCATCTGGCTTTGTAATTGCTGACACAGGAATGGGCATTTTGGGTTCACTCAGAGAACAAAGCATGTCTGTTATGCCACAGCATGGAAGGCACTGTGGTAGGTTAAGCTCAGAGTGGGCCTCAAATATCTTTCTCCTGATTGGCCAATCCAGGTTTTAGGCCTTTCTCAGATGATGGATGGCTCAAAATGGTTCACAGGGCATATATAAGGACTCTTGCAGATACCATACTGAGTTCTAAAACTGATTGACTGAATGTCAAAGGTTTAATCCAGAGGTTCCCAAACTTATTTGGCCTATTGCTCCCTTTTCAAAAAAAATTTATGTATCTTAAATTTGATAATTTACTGTAAATTTGTGGGGTTTTTTCCTGCATTGAAATTTTGATGATGCAATATTGTGTCATGTAACTGTATAGTATTGTATTGTGAACAAGTCATTACAAGCACATACATTACATGCACAGCTGGTGCATGCTGGACTTCCTAACAATGCATGACATGGTTGCCTGCCAAAACTTGCTTATGAAGACTTGACCACTGATAGGTCATAACTTGCATTTTGTGTGTTTATTTAGAAAAAAATGTAATCACTACAACTTCAACTTTTACATAACAGATAAAACATGTGTGAATGGTTTTTCAAAATTTTCTTCTCTTCTTTCCTTATGCTTCCATTCCTCCCCCCTTATTTTTATTCAATGCCCACCAATTGCACCTGAGGCTACTACCACCCCCCGGGGGCAGCATCACCCACTTTGCGAACCTCTGGAAAATCAAACAGTTTGATAAACTGAGAAGCAAAGGTATATGAGGGGATATCAACATCTATATTGAAATCACATGTAAGGATACGTTTTGAGTTGGAGAGGAAGGTTGCGCTAGGTGCTGAGCTCTTTGTAAAGGGAGGGTGACCTGAGGTTTGATAGATAACTACAACTAGGACCTGGCTAGGATGATAAATCTGGATGGAATGAACCTTGAAGGAGAAGTTGCTGAGTGATGGCTATTCCTGTTGCTATCAATTTTATTTTAGGAGTCCTATTTTATTCTTCACCAGAGTACAAAGAAAAACATTAAAAAATATGCCAGCATATGCATTAAAAATTGCGGAGAAAATAAAGTCAGTATGTAGAGTTTCTGGATTCCCTCCTCTCACTAATGAGTCTCTCATTTCTTATTTGTAACATTTTGACTACAACATCAATTTTCCAATTTCTTTATTAATTTCACTTACAAGCATTTATAAATTATCTTTCACATATTAGTATTAGATTTCATGGTAAATGTGCTGCAATAAGGATTGTTTATATAATGATTCTATACCTTATTAACTGAGAATACTATTTTGGATTACTTGTAATATAGCTTCAGATACTAAGTATGTGGTACAGTGGAGAAAGCATTGGAGTTGGTTTTTGGCTCTGGCTTTGCCACTTACCACCTGTGTGATGTTGGCCAAATCACTGAACCTTTCTGGGTCTCAATTTCTTCATCTGTAAAATGAGGGGGTTAGAACAGATGGCTTATAAAGCCCCCTCCAGCTTTAAATTCATCAGCCCTATGAAATAGTCCCACCACTCAGCTGCCCTTCATATATGAAGATGTTGCTGTTAATACATTAGATGATTTTCCAATTTTTTGTTGTTGTTGTTGTGTGTAATGTTGATGGCTTTACATTAACTTATTCACATGCATTTAAGAACTTATTTGTGAGAAGACTGAAGAGAATTAAAATGCAGGTGTATCCTTGATGTTTAAAGCTAACTGGCTCATTCAGTGAGCAAGTGGCCTCAATCACACCATTCTCTAACCAATGTGCTAACCAACCACAGGGGTACATTTAATACAGAATACTAGGGTTATAGTTTTGGAGCCTGAGGGGACCTCAGAGGTCTTCTATTTCAAATCCCTCATTTTCTGAAAAATAAATTCCAAGACATGAACATACTAGGGTTATAAATTACATACAATAAGACATTCCATTAAAATTGGTCATAAAGTGAACAATAATTTTCACTGAAAGCTCCAGGTCAGTGATTGTCTCATTCTATCCATCTACGCATCTTCCCCAGAGAAAATCCTCAACAAATAATGAAAAAATGAATGAATCTTAAAATTGAACTTGTTATTACAGAAAAAAAAATTCCCACTCAAAGACTGCTGATAACTTTTGGTGAAAAAGAGATTATACTGATGGATAGTCCTGTGACATGAGGGATATTTGGCAGACTATCAGTATTATGCTTATAATATTTGGATATCAGTTTACTTGTTCTTTGTAGCACTTTCAGCATTCACTCACTCCCTTGTGCCTTACAAGTAATAAGATTTTATCCCATACATTTTCCTAGCAAATTCCCTGACTTTATTTAGATCCAGATATACTGATAGGGCTTAATGTCAATGTCACATTTTGCCAGCAGTTAAATTCAAGGATGGATTCTAGTCTGATGAATGCTTTGAGACTTTAGGTTAGGTTAAAAAAATTGTTCCCTCAATTTTATTAAGTCTGAAATTTGGTTTCTAATAGTGGTGGCTGCTATATTATTGGCTGGTGAGTAGGCAGGTAGGTGGGGCTATTCCTTACCTTTTGGGTATAACTCTTTCTCTGGATACTCCCTTTGTACCTCTAGGGAGAGGCTTTCCTCTGAAACAAGGCCCAGAAAGATGGTGACATAGTAAGAGAGAGGCCCAAAACAGTTCCCCCTCCTCTGCCTTATTTGAAAGTCTCAAGGAGAAAAGAGAGCTTGTAATTGTTCAAGTCTTTTGCATGCATGCTTTGTTCTGGCTAAGTAATCAATTACAAGGCTTTTTATCACCAGGATATATAAACTGTCAAGAAAAAGTCAGAATATTTGCATATGCTAAGAATCTGGGTGAGAAAAGGCCCTTCTATCACTTTCTTTACCATACCTACTTCATTTTTTGACCAAGTAACCAGGATGCTACAGATGGATGTCTGCTGGTTTCCAGCAGAGGTGTTACCTTCTCAATTGCCAAAGTTTTGCCTTGGCCTTCAGGACTGAAGAAAAGCCTGATTTTTATGTATAAGTTCACCTTATCCCACCCTTTGAATTCCTGAGAAGGAAGAAGAAAAATCCTGAAAGCCAGTCAAAAGCAGCAGATGGTCAATGGTAGAGGGACACTCAGAAAACTGCAGAGGGGTTTGCCACCACAGAGGAGCTCTAGGGCAGTCAATAGTGTCCAAAAGGTACGTCAGGGCATTTCTGGCCTTGCTGAAATTCATTCAGGCAGTAGTGCCCAGTGATTTTTCACTTAATCCTCTATTCCCTTCCTCTTTTTCCACAGGGGCTAAACCTTCTATCATCCCCAGGACTATGGGATAGTTTGTCTCAGTTCCTTAACATTTTTTTTAAACTTTTCTGAATTTAAACATTTTCATTTTGTCTTAAGCCAAAAAATTTGATAAAAGCTGATAAAAAACCACCCCATTACTAAACTATGTGCATTATTGTTTTAACAGAGTAGAAAAAAACAATTGTGAAGTATCCGGGAAGGGAAAGACTCAAAACTGTTAGGAAAGAGTTATTGATTAACTTTTATTACTTACCCAGGGCAGAGAGAATATTTTGTCCAGGTTTCTTTAAGTAAATGAATGAGAAGCAGTGGCTATGACTAGCTAAAAGGCCTCCAAACCTGGGGCACGTTCTACAAATACCATGCCATCAGTGGAAAGAGTATACTTGCACAGGTACCACAATAGGGGCATACACATGTGTTCCTACTGTGAAAATGGATATGCTAACCACTTGGATTTGCTTGAGCCTCCCAATTATCCAGGTAACTGAGAAGAGCTGTATGAAGACTGGCTGTATTAGCTAAGATAAAGAATGGACTGACATACCAACAATCCTGTGCGGTGACTGAGAGTAAACCCAACTGGATGTACAAAAAATCAGCAACTCTGAGGCCAATTAAGCTCATACCAGCCTTGACACAGACCCTGAGCCATTTGATGGTTTATGGACCTTCAAGAGACATTTTTATCTTCAGGGCAGCTAGGGCGCAGTGGATAGAGCACCAGCCCTGAAGTCAGGAGGACCTGAGTTCAAATCTGACCTCAGACCAAACACTTGACACTTATTAGCTGTGTGACCCTGGGCAAGTCACTTAACCCTAACTGCCTTTAAAAAAAAAGACATTTTATCTTTAGAGACTCCCTAACAGTTGGTTATGGGGCTCTCTGACACATCCAATTTCATGGTTTTTGGAGACATCTTTTTATCTTATTGTTTGTGCTCAAGTCTTAAACTGTCAGGACTGCTTGTCACCAAGAATACCTTCTGATTTGTGTATCTAAGCTCTGACACCTGGAATTCCTCATGCCCTGTTTCCCAGATTGCCCCCTTCCACTGCAAATGAGGCTCCTTGCCTCAATCCTTTCTAGGACCTTCCTAATTCCCATTTTGAAAAATAAATATCTCCTCCACATCCATTACTGAGTTGCTCAGCATTAGGCTGGATGCTCCCATGTGCATGTTTTACTTCCCTACTTAATAAAAATCTTTAATTTCGCAGGCATCATCTTCTGTTTTTTCTTCTCTTTAGGGGAAAAGGAGGATTTAGGTCTCAAGAACTGGCCTTTGCATCCTCTGGGTATCTTATTCCTTTTGAGGAAAGAGAGATCTAAATTCCCTAAAGAAAGCATCTGTCTCAGTTTACACTACATATCGAGGAACAACTCACTTCCCCAGTGATGAAGGGATGCTAATATTTGGTGATAGCATAACTATATTTTCTCTGGCCTTCTCCTTGTTGAATATTGCTGATCTCTCCTGAACCCTAGAAAGCCTCTCTCTGATTAGGGCAAATTGATAACTCCTTAGTTATAGGTAGACCATATCCAGCTAACAAAGCCAACATTTCCAGGCTAAGATTAAGTCTTTTTTTGGACTACAATTCTCTCTTGGGAGAATTTCAATCACAAGGTGATGCTATGATTCTGGAAAATCGTATAAGCTCCCTGAGGAGAAGGTGGGAGTTACTTAGAGAGGAGAAAAGAATTATTGGGATGTGCAGGAGCCAGTTCAGATCTGCTCTCTAGAGCTTATTGTTACCTTTTCAGTGTGAACATTTACACCTTAGAAATTGGCAAACACCTCAAATCTGGGCTTGATTTATTGTCTTGTTGATTGTCTATACTTAAGGTGATGGAGAAAATAATAATGCTGTTTAAATTTAAAAGCATGTCTAGAATACATTTTTTGGAGGGGGAGCCAGTTGTTAAACATTTACCACTGTGCCCCTGGTTATCCTTGACTGTTTATGTGCTCTTTTTTTTTCTTGGTATTCTTTCCAAGGAGTGAATTAAAGATGAATTAAATTTGCATGTCATATTATGTATATATTTTTGCATATATATATATATATATATATATATATATATATATACATACATAAAAAATGTAGTTTGTTCAGTCATTTTAGTCATGACTGACTCTTTGGGATCTCATTTGGGATTTTTGTGACAAAAAATACCGGAGTGGTTTGCCATTTCCTTTTCCAGCTCATTTTACTAATGAGGAAACTAAAGCAAACAGGGTTAAGTGACGTGCCCAGGGTTACACAGCTAGTAAGAGTCTGAGGCCAGATTTGAATTCAGGTCTTCCTGACTCCAGGTCCAGATAGATAGATACATAGAAAGAAAGAAAGAAAGAAAGAAAGAAAGAAAGAAAGAAAGAAAGAGAGAATGGATGGATGATGGATAGATGGATGGATGGATGGATGGATGAAAATAATTCACTTAGTGCTTGCATGGGAGCTAAGTACACTTTTACCCACACGTGCAGAGATCTCCTCACTATATTCTCATACTCCTGGGGGAAAACCTGAATAGGAATACAAATCAAAGAGTAATTCATGAGGAGCCTCTCAGGTTGAACCCTGTCACTAACACTTGGGGTTCTGGCCCGTGGGTTACATTATACTAGTAAGTAAGAGAAGAATAAGTATTTGGTGATGAGCTGAATTCACTCTATTGGTGACAGGTCAGCCAATATAACAATCACTTTGATGCTTAGTGAAGTTTTAGGGATAGCTAAATTTAGGTGGGATGAGGACTCTAGGTCTGCTATACTGTTGTACTTCTTGAAGCTCAGTGTTACCAAAGTGCTACAAGCAGCTTAGACATTGCTGTCCTGAAGGACTATAGGAAAGCTTGCTACGTCTGGGCAGAAACAATGAAAAGATTATGTAACCTGCTCATGTAACTTGTTATAATCAATTAGCTGTTTGTTAAAATTTTATCTTTTTCTATGAATATTAAAAAGCTTCCTACATAGCTGCTAAGCCTCCGTGGTTTAGACCTGAATACTTCCATTAATTTGTATCTGTTTATATAGATTCATTAATCTACCACTCTAGAATCCAACTACACTAGACTTCTCACTGTTCTTCTCAATGTGCCATCTTCTGACTCCATGCCTTTTCATTGGCTGTCTCCCATGCCTGGAATGTTCCACCTCCTTACTTCCCTGTCTTCATTCAAGACTCATCTCAAATCCCACCTTCTGCCAGATATCTTTCCCACCCATGAACTCATACAAACTTCTAACCTTATGGTACTACTGGTACTAAGGATTTGGAATCCTCTTGGAAGGAATGAACTTGTGGTTGCTAGAGACACAATTCCTTTCATATCAGGTCTACCCTGATCAAATAATTCATGGTAGTAGTGAGGAAAAGTCCATATTTTTTTGCTTCTTCATTTTGTGACTCAGTTCTTTGTTGTCCTCTAGTTCCAGTGCCATATGTATGATACTTTTCTCTCCAAGAAGCTGGTGCTGTTCAGGAATTTTCCCTTCCCTTTCTAGGAAGCAAGAAATTCTCCCTTCTCTAACAAGAAGGTTGGATGCAGGAACTTTTCTAGAATTCAGCATTAATGTAGGAAATGTGCTCTCCTCTATCCAGGAAGCTAGGTCACATGTCCATCTTCTCTACAGGCCATGTGATTGAAAAACCTCACTACTGCCTCCTCTCTGGTCTAATGGGTGAAAACAAATACAACTGAAACATGCTTCTATCTCTGCCCATTAAAGGCTGCCATTAGCAGCTCCTAGAAGGAGAGCTATGAGGATACACAGATTTTTTTACTTCCTGGAGAACCAGGTTTGCTTTTAGGTCTGTATTTTGTGCTCAGCTCTCTAACCAAAAGACAATGAAAAACCCATTGAAACGTACGTTGGCTATAGTATGTTACTCAAAATTAACTTTAAGTAGGAAGTAGCATAAAAGATATCGTCAAGGATATGTATGACCAGAAAAGGAAGGGCATCAATCATGTGGCAAAAATGAGGGGCCACACATGGCTCAAGTGCCATATCGGTGCCACCAATAAAGTTAAGAATCAAAGGAAGGCCTTCTTTGATGTAGATAGTTCCTTTGTGGAGGACTTATGGAAATATAAGAACAAAAAAGTGCACAGGATAATTAGGTATGGAGGGGTTATAATCTGCACCAGTAGAACTATGATGCACATCAATGATATCACAAATCCAGTCCATCTAAATAAGTATAGGACATAAATCTAATGTAGGGTAGCTTGGTGTCATAGTGGATTGTCCTGGAGTGCCAGCCCTGGAGTCAGGAAGACTCATCTTCTGGAGTCCAAATCCAGCCTCAGACAGTTACTAGCTGTGTGACCCTGGGCAAGTCACTTAACCCTGTTTGCCTCAGTTTCCTCCTCTGTAAAATGAGCTGGAAAAGGAAATGGCAAACCACTCCAGTATCTTTGCCATGAAAACCCCAAAAGAGGTCACAAAGAGTCAGACATGACTAACTGACTAAACAACAACAATGTGAATCTAATGTAAACTCCTATCAGGTAATCATAAGAAATTATTATAAGTGTTTACGTATTTGGGGAAAACATTTGTAGTTGCAATTTGGGTACCAGCTATGTGACTGATATTGGGCAAGGTTATTTAATTTTGTATCATCTGGTTCATCATCTGTAAAACGTGGATAATATCTGCACTACCTGGTAAACAGAGTTTTGAGGACTGAATGAAATTACATGTGTAAGATACTTGGGTAACCATAAAGTATAGAAGTAATTTGAAAAACAACTTCTCATATTAATGTGGTACTTTATAACTTAAAAAGCTCTTTCCTCATAACTATCCAATTGAAGTTGTTAATATAAGTTTTACTCTTTGCATTTTACAGATGAGAAAACTGAAATTCAGAGGGGTTGAGCACCTTGCTCATGGCCACACAGCTGATAAGTGACATTGATGAGACTTGAATATTTTGATTCTATTATACAACTCTGTATCCGACATATGGAAGCTAGTAAAAATGCTGAGAGTAAAAGTTATTCTTTTTTATTGTAAATGATGACATTGCCCTAGAATGCAAACCACATTTTCACTAAGCCACTCTGCCAACCTGGGAAAATTAGGCCAGTTAGTTACACGGGAAGAAAATTTCTCATATGAACTAAGTGACTTCTTCCAGTACTTAAATTTCCTCAATAGTTCACAACACTACTACGTAATCTCTTTCCTAATTTAAAAGGTAAATTTAAAATTTGTCTTGTAAATTGATTATTTGAACTAGGAAATGTTGGCAGTCAATCTGAATTTGAATTCCAGTTGCTTAAAGAACATTTTATAGAAGTTATTAACCTTAAATTGATGTTCTTCTGTATTGTTCATTCGTACCAAATGTAACATAAGACAATATAACTGTTGTTCTTTGTGATTGGTTTCAGGCTTTTTCTTCCTGATAAACTGTACAATCTCAAGCTGTTTCCAAATAATATCCAAACAGGAACCTAACATGCTTTTGTAGACATCTTTTGCTTTCAGTAAATATCCTGTTATAAACCAAAGGAAAAAGAATGATTATAAAAATCTTTTTTGTAGCAAGCAAACAGGAAACTAAGAAGAAAAAAATAACAAAAGTCATTGGATGTTTACTTTAATTTTTGTCATTATTTTTCATTTTTAATGGAAAACTTGAAAACAGTGAAGATATAAAAAGATGTCTTAGTCCATCTTAAGGAAAAAAAAACAAACAAACTAAAATTGTGCCAAGGAAAGAATTATGAGAAGAAATATTCTACTAGGTAAGTTAAGGAGAGTATCTAGCCTATGTGCCTAAACTGTCCTTTCATATTTTTTATAGAATTTATCTATAGTCATATTGCAACACATCTATGCTACTTTAATCTTTCATATTTTTAGAAAAAAACTGAATTCTGCATCATATATATATAGGGAAAAAAAGTATTACACCTAGGGCCCTGTGGACAACCTTAGGAAAACATCTGAGTAGCAACTCAGATTATTGGAATCAGCCTAGCCTACTGACAGTAAATTCAGAATTAATCTGATCACTTTCTTGAATTATGTTGTTTTCTAATTTATTTTTATTCATTTTATTACTATTATTTTTTGAGACTGCATCTCCCTATCTCACTCAGGCTAGAAGTATAGTGACTACTAATACATACTACTAAAACCAACACCAGTGCTGATTGGTACAGCAACTTTAAGGTGCTGTTTCCGACTTGGACCAATTCATCCCTCTTTAGGCAGCATAGTGCTCCACCTTCCCTCCTTGTGGCTCACTATATTTATGCCCCACTTAGTGCAGTCAGTGGATAAGCTTTATTTATACTGCAGTTTAGAACTCTGAAACTAAAACAATCCACTAGCTGTAGCCTAGCAGCAGGGATTTCAGGCATGTGTCACCATCCCTGGCTCTAATTTATTTTTAAAACTTAGGTTATATTTAGAGGCATCCTGGCATCACAATCATTAGATGTGAAGCAAACTAAATTATAAATTACATCATATGCTTTATTGTAAATTATACCTTATATAAATTTTATACCTTATTAGAATATATTTACTAAAAAATTAAAAAATCTCTAGGTAAACAGTATAAAGCACAGTAAGATCAGTTTCATAGTCTTGATATTTTAGAAACATTTTTCTTTGTGTAGTGTGAAATGTAAAAAATGATTTGGTTTTATCATTCCTATTGTGTATACTCTAATCTATTAGTAACATAAATGTGGCTAAATCAAGATATTGTTACTTGATAAACAGGAAATTGCCTATATTTTATGCATATCCCACCTAAATGATAAGTAGCAAATCAATAAATATTTATTAAACATCTATAATTGCCTCCTTGTTTTTCCTTGAACATGATACTTCATTTTTCAACTTTGTGAATTTTCACTGTAAATACCCAATGCCGGGAATTCTCTTCTTCCTCATATCTATCTCCTAATGTCTTGATTTCTTACAGCTAAAATTCTACCTTCTACAAGAAGGCTTTCTTGAGCCTCCTTAATGTCAGTGCTTTCCTTCTTAGGTCATTTCCAATTTATCGTGTGTGTGTGTGTGTGTGTGTGTGTGTGTGTGTGTGTGTATGTGTGTATGTACATCTATCTATATCTATCTATATCATACATGTACATACACATACACACACACACATATATGCACATATCTTGTTCATATGTAGTCTTTACAATTAGATTGCGAACCCCTTGAGAACGGGGACTATGTTTTGCCTTTGTAGTTCTAGTATGCTTAGTAAATTCTTGTTGGTTCAACTTGTAAGGCAAAATATTAATGTTAACTGTTAAAAGGCAGCATGGGAATTATAAATGTATGCCTTCCTTAGGCTCTTTTGTGATTCCAATTATTAGATATAATATTTTTCATAGCCAATTCAAATACAATTAAAGAATAACATACAAATGTCAATTTTTAGTAGTTTTAGAAATACAAACAAAACATGGATTATATTATGAAAATGCTACAAAATTTCCTGGAAAATATCCACATTTTAATAAAATGAGGACATTTTAAATGACAACTTCTGGGTTAAAAGATGTCTTACTTGGATAAGGTAAAAAATGAAGAACTGAATTACTTTTCAACTAACCCAGTGCTGTGTCCAAGGTACACATTAAGAGGAGATCTCGAACTGTTACCAAAAGATGGACCAGTGCTGCTTGTTTCAATATTACTTCTCTTTCATCATTTTTATCTAAATGAAAAAAAGGTATATTTAGATATACATGTTAGAACACACACATATACTTAAATCTTACATAAATGCTGTTTCTAAAATACATACTTCCTAATTTTTCCCAAGCCAATTCAAAAATTAAAATGTCAAATGAGCCTTTGTTGTTTAAAAAAGAGAGATCTAAAGAGATGAGTAGGGCTAAAATGGCAAAGGGTTGGGTTGGATCATAAGTCCAGACCAGCTAGCTACCTAGAAAAATGCAAAGGGTTAGCAAGGGATCAGTTATTTTAGGAATATGGAAGCAGTGACTGGAATCTGAAAGTAGGTCCCTTAGTAGAGAAAGTGACAATTAAAAGGTAGAATACACAATACCATTAGCCATAGTTAGGCTTAAGAAGGCAAGTGATTGACAGAAGTGACACTCAGTCACAGAGAGAATGGGTGTTAGGGGTAGAAAACTCAATTATTAAAGGGGCTGAAAAATAAGGAAGGAAGCTAGTTCCTGAGAATCCTGGATACAGTGATAAGAATCTAGTAAGCACCTATACTCACTTGGTAAAGTTCCTTGATTGGGGATTGTTGTGTTTGTCTTTTGTTCTCAAAGATGACCATGACATCAGGGAGCTGATGACATGACTTACAATTGACTTTGATTTGAATGAGACAGGGCTGTGTAAGGTCACCAACCTCACTTTCTCCTTCACAGTCATCTCCCTCCAGTGGCCAGATATTCATCTGGACGACTGGAGATGGCCCAGGATGCAATGGGAGACCCTGGCCTTTTTAAGCTGAGGTCTTTTCAGGTTCTTACTTTGAGTGAGGTAACAGCCATTCAGTGAATAGGCCTATTTAAGAAGTGAGTCAAGGGAGGGTCCCTTTAATTAAAAAAAAATCAAACTGGGAGGGGAAAACCTTTAGGATTGCTGGCCAAAAGAGAAACAGTTACTATTTACATTCACTCAGAGCCTGGAGGGCCCAGAAAAGAGCCATCTAATCTAAGGGCTTCAAGAGTGAATTGGCTTTAAGGCTTGGTCTTTGAGAAAGAAATCTAGCCAGTAAATAGGTTTGACTCCAGTACCTGTGGCAGGATGGAGTCTATAAGTAGGGGTTAAGTAGACTCTGCCACTAGGGTTAGAGAGCTGGAGAAGAGAGGATCTAGTTGTGCTATTATATTTAAGTGGCACTTGGCCCTGTGTTTAGTATGACAATTACCACTGTGCTCTATAACTCTACAAACCTTCAAAAACTCAGTCTATACTAAAATAATCCCAAATCTGTGACCAGTAGAAATCACATTAAATTATATTAATAGGTAATGTTCTGCTTTTGTTGCAGTCCTCTTTCTTTTTATAAAGAGTAGTCTTCTGGTAATTGAGATTTTCTATTTTCTTCGATATTTCAATAGCTTTTTTTTTTAAAGCTATATTGGGAACAAGAGAAAGATCAAAGAAGACTTCAGAATTAGAAGAGATGATGATAATAACAGATGACAGTGAGAAAACAGAATAACTCAGACCTTTTATTTTGTTCTTCTCTTCTGTTCCAAGGAGAATGATCTCTTGATTAGAAAGGACAGAACAAAAATGGTCATCTCAGAGTGAAACTCAAGATAAATGAGATAATAAAAGCATGTAGTTCCTCTTAATCTGCTCAAGTAAGAAGACTTGGGTGAATTACAGTGCTTAAAGAGACCCTTACAGATGTAACTGCTGAGCTATTATTGATCTTTGGGTGTATAGCACAAGAGAGGTGTCTTAGGACTGTTGTTTTACTCCTCAAAAATGCGAAGAGGGTGAAGTCTATAAACTCTAGCTCATGAGCTAAACTTTATTCCTGGTAAAATTATAGATATATTCAGTTTAAACATCTTATTTTTATTGATTTTTTTGTCATCTTTATTTCTGAATATAGACTTCCTACCTCCTCTCCCCAGAAATTCATCCCTTGTAACAAAGATTTAGAAAGAAAAAAGCAATTTTGCAAAACCAAACAACATATCAATTCTGTCTCACAGCATATATATATATACAGTCCTTCTTTTCAGGACTGTTTGTTTATATCTTTTAACCACTTAGCAACTAGAGGAATGAATCTTGTTGTTATAGATTACCACTAATTCTAATAATAATAATAATAAAAGGTAACATTTACATAGTGCTTACTATGTGCCACTACTAAGTACTTAACAGATATCTCATTTGATCCTAACAACAACATTGGGAAGTAGGTGCTATCATTATTCCTATTTTACAGATGAGGGAACTGAGGCAAAAGAAGTTAAGTGACTTGCCTGCGCCACACAGCTAATAAGTGTATGAGGCTGGATTTGAACTGACTCCAGGCTTGGGGTGCTCTATCTACTGTACCATCTGGGTATCAGACTCTTATTGGAGATATTTGATGCAAAGGTTTTTCTTCTCAATTCATATTTTTCTTTTTATCCTTGCTGCACTGATTTTGTTTGTGCAAAAGCTCTTCAATTTCATATAACTAAAAATGGAATTATCCATTTTATCATCTGCAATCTTCTCTAATACTTGACTGCTTAAGAATTTTCATCTTAGCCATAACTGATATGTGATTTAATTCTCAAATTTTTTAAAATTGTGAGAGCCTTTATATTCAGGTAGTATATACATTTTCGAGCTTGTAATAATTAGGAGAGATGCCCCTTTCTTCCCAATTTGCTGGAATGGGACACCTCCCAAGGATCTAAGTCTGCATGCTCACGTTCCATGAGGCTGGACATATGCTCTGGCTTACACTTTGGGAGACAGCTTGTGTTAAATGACTGCGCCAGTTAAAATCACCCACTTAGGCTATAAAAGGGGAGGATAAAGGCTTTGGCTCTCCCTCTGTCTTCTTTAATTCTGAAAACATTGTTTGGGATTCTCCCTTGGATTTCTCTTTCTCACCTCCAGTTAACACTGGTATCTGTGAGCACGCGGCATTAAGAATACATGTGCATGCCTTGTCAAGTCTGGGATTGAATTTTAAGTCCCTGACAGTATTTTCTGTTTGTTTGCCCTATGAGCAAAGGTCACTGAGAGATAGATGTTTTTAGGCTTGGCTGCTACCTCATGAGTTCAGGAGCTCTTGAGTCAGTGCTGGAGCCTAGCAAGAGATTCGTCCTGCAACTGCACTGTTTTTCAGAAGAGAAGATGTACTTCTACCAGGGGGATGACACAGCTGGAAAGACTAAAAAAGCCCAAGTTATCCCCTGGCTTACCTACAGTGTTGGACTTGTGACTACAGAGACAGTACAGGTCAGAGATAAAAGTGAAACATCAGTTCGGTAGTTCCAAATGCCTTTATCTTTCAGAGAGTGTAATAAGCAATCAACTATTTGTTTCATGTTTTAGGTATTTGTTAATGTATATTTATGAGTTTTAGACATTTCTTCATTGGTAAAAGAAATACGGCAGCTATGTGGCTCAGTGTATAGAGAACTGGGCCTGGAATCCGAAAGATCTGAATACAAATACAGCCTCAGAAACTTACTAGCTGTGTGACCCTAGGCAAGTCATTTTCTTAACCTCTGTTTGCCTTAATCCATTGGAGAAGGAAATGGCAAACCACTCCAGTATCTTTGCCAAAAAAATTCTATAAGAAATCATGAAGACTCAGATATGACTGAACAATAAGAAGAAATATACAGCCATCTTCTATCTACATTGTACATTGAGTACCTTTTCTAGAAGACAGCTTTGTTAATCTTTTTAGGGGAGACCCCAGGGATGAGGCATGTTTAAGGGCTTTTCCCAGAACTCTAGTGTTGGGAGATAAAGAGCCAGAAGTATGAGAAAAGACTGACTCCTCTCTTTGGGATCAGTCCTTCTCCAGGACTGATAACAGTCTGCGTAAACTCTTAGTAGGCAAACTTCCTTAGGGGAATGGGTCCCCTCAGGACCACAGGTGACAAGTATGGTATAAGATGTTATCTAAAACAAATTTCTGCCAAAATGTTTTCCAATTTCTCCAGTAATTTTTGTAAAATAGGGAGTTCATCCCACGAAGCTTATGCTCTTGGGCTTATTGAACACTATTTTTTGTTTGTTTTTTAGTGTTTTTGAGTGAATCTTTTTTTGATTTTCAGAAGTTCTATATTGTTTTTTAATTGGGATTTACCTTTTAGATCAATGGAGTGGGGAAGAGCCCACAACCAAACAAGGGACAGAGAAGATTGCAAGAAGTAAAAGTGGACAATTTTGATTACATAAATTTAAAAAGGTTTGGATAAATAAAATCAGTGCAACTTAGATTAGAAAGGAAACAGTTAACTGGGAAAAAAATCTTTGTAGCAAATTTCTCTGATGCAGGTCTCACGTCCAAGATATATATGGAACTGATGTAAATTAGAGCCATGCTCAAAGGATCTTAAAAGCAATTTCAAGAGAAGATATCCAAGTTACCTGTAGCTATATGGAAAAAAGTTCCAAGTCACTAATAATTAAAGACATACAAATTAAAACATCTCTAAGGTCCTATGTCACACTCATCAGATTGGGAAACTTGACAAAAAAGGAAAATAATGAATGTTGGAGGGAGTATGGGAAAACTGGCACATTAATGTACTGTTCGTAAAACTGTGAGTTGGCCCGCCTTTCTGGAAAGCAACTTGGAACTATGCCCTAATAGGTTTATACCCCAAAGAGAGAAGATAAGGACCTATATACACAAAAATATTTATAGCAACTCTTTCTGTAGTGACAAAGAACTGGAAACTACAGGGACGCCCATCAAAGTACAAAGTATGGTATATGAATGTAATGCACTCTATAAGCATTAGTTATTCTATATGTACATACATATACACATATAATCAGAGGAGCACAGATTTAGATTTAAAAGAAGCCTATAAGGTTATCTAGTCTAATATTCTCATCTTATAGAAATGGTTACTGAGGCCCAAAGGGGTTAAGGGACTTGTCCCAGATCCCACAGGTAGGTAAATGGCAGAACTGGGATCAGAATCCAGTTTCTCTGACTCCAGATTCAGTACTCTCTGGCACTACAAAGGCTTTAAGTATAGGCCTGACAATAAGTGGCATGTCTGCTATCTAAGGATCAACCTAGAGTTCTAGGTTGGCTACCAGTTGGTGGATTTTTCAGCTATAGAAATTTATGAAACACTGAAGTTATTGGTAGATAAAGTAAACTTACTAATGTAGATATGCTATATATAAGCATCTATCTGTATATTTAAAGGAATATAGCTTATACTTTCACTCACCTTGAAGAAAAATGTCATTTATTATTTTTTCTTGCTGCTTTAAGAAAAATCTAGTTTGGTCAAAGCCAAGAGTGGCAAATTTCCAGTTTGATGTAGGAAGATTATTATGGCAAGCAAGTTTTTTCAATAAAGGAGTAGCCATTGCTTCTAAGAGACTGTATGCCTGGCACTGGCTCTCTGGCAAAAAACAAAAGTAGGAAAGTCAGGGGTTGGTACTTGTTAGACAGATGCTACTCTCTTGTTGATCAATTAAAAAACTATATTACTTTTCAAAAAACTCATCATGATACTATCAATATTCTTGTGCTTGAAACCTTAATTTTCTCTAGGCACGGTCAAAGGACAGACTTCTTTTATAAGACCTTAATTTTCTCTAGGCAAGGGACCATGAGAAACTTCTTTTATGAGAAGTATATTTCTACAATAATACAGGATTATGCAGGAAAAAACTCTGTAATCTAAGTTATAGATAGGTTTACAAAAGAGTAATTATCATATTCTTAGAATGCATTTACTAATTACCTACATAGCACTGTACAAAGATTATTATATAGTTTTATTATCTGCCCTCTCCTACATATTTAAAACCTAAGACAGATACTGTGACACAGATAACAGAATAATAATCTTAATCTGATATTGTGAACCAATAGTAAGTTATTTTAACCAAACATAAATCAAGGGTAAAAGATAAGACAGAACAGCCATGAAATTTCATTTCCAAAATTAGCAGAGGCAACTAACGGTTTTATTTTCTAGGACAAATGTAGGAATTTGTTTAAATGATAGGAGAGAGATGAGTTGGCGAGATGGCGTTCCAGACATAAAGCACAACTATAGAGAGAGCTTGAAGGTGCTAACAGTGAACAGATGAAAGGGATTTTAACTAGGTAGAGCTGAACCGATGAAAGGGATTTTAACTAGGTAGAGCTGAACCAAATGGAGGAAGGTAGTAGACATGATAAATAAAGGTAGTCTTGGCCATCCTAGTGAAGTACTTTAAAGTTAAATAAACTTTAAAATGTATAACACACCAGTTGCTTGAATTTCAGTGACGTTACTCATCTCCTTTTCTTGATTTTTCTCAGGGGACGGCTCTCTACAAACAGTAGGATTCTCTTCTTCAAGGGTCAGACTACATTCCTCTTTGCTGTGCATTCTGGATTCTAAAACACAGTAAATTTGTATGTTGTTCAGGAAAAACTCATGTCATATATAAATCACTTAAATAAGTAATACTTTTTATCAAAAGATTATAACCCTTCCAAGATCATTAAAATTCATGAATATTAAATTCAACTCAATGAGCAATTCTTGAGCAGTAATGAAGTAAAACTCAGATGTTTCATTATGGAGTGGGGGTGGCCAGTTCTCAAGAGCTAGGCCAGCAAAGCTCAAGCTCTGATAGGTTCCACCATGCTGGAAATACTTCTAGCAACAGCCTCTGTGATTGTGATAGATTGTGTTTGCTTTCTGGAGTCCAGTCTAGTTAAGTATGGAGAGGCTCATCACTAGCAAGCTGGACAATTAGCTGGACAATCACTAGAGCTAGACAATAAGAAGAATTCTTTGTTCATGGAGAAGGGGAGGGAATAAGCATTTATATAGCACCTATTATGTGCCAATCAATGTGCTAAGCACTTTATAAATAAATACTCTCATTTGATCCTCACAAAAACCCTTGAAGGTAAATATTATTATTATCCTCATTTTACAATTGAGGAAACTGAGACAAACAGAGGTTAAGTGACTTGTCCAGGGTCACATAGCTAGTAAACATCTAAGGTCACATTTGAACTTAGATCTTCCTGACTCCAGGTCCAGGGCTCTAGACACTATACCCTTCATGGCAACTCATGAAACAAAGAAAAAGATAAAATAGTTTTCAGTCTAAGTAAGCCTATTTGCTTCTATGGTAATGGTAAAAAAAAAGATAGGAAAAGGGGGTGGAGGGTGCTAAGACTATATAAATACCCATTTTTTTATACAATGTAAATACTAACTGCTCTAAATGTGAGCTCTTTGTCCAATGAATGGATATATTGCTAGAGGAAGTGAATCATACTGATACTGATTTTCTCATTATAAATTAAACTAAAGGACAAAATGAAGTTAGAGCTAAACAGAAAGATAGATCGCTCACAGGTTTTCCTTGGAGAAGCAAATAAAGCACTTGATTTTATCATGCACTCAAAGGCAACAAGAACCTTCATTTCACAGGATAATTATACATATTGCCTTGTTACTTTCATGATAAGCACTTGCAAAAATACTATCATGAAGATAATTTCAGTTTATGTACTAATATCTATTGCAGAAGATCAGGAAAATCTATGAATATCGTAAGATGTTCCAAATTAAATCAACATATATACTTTGGCAAGGTGAATAAAGTTGGATCTGGACTTAGAAGACTCAAGTAACATAGAATGAAAGGGCACAAGTAATGGATAATGTTATGACTTCTAGCTCTAGCTTTGGAAATAACTAGCCGTGGGATATTAAGCAAGTAACCTCTGTGAGCCTCAGTTTCTTCATCTTTAAAATGGGAGATTTCTGAATGATTTCTAAGATTGATTATATTTCTATAAGAGGGAGGCAACATCATACAGTGGAAAGAGCTCTGACTCTGGAATCAGAGGAGTTGGGTTCAAATCTTGTCTCTGATGTTTAACATTTATATGACCTTTTGCAAGTCATTTAGCTGTCCTGGGCATCTATTTACTCAGCTGTCAAGGAAGACAGCTGGACTAGATGGACTCTACTGTCTCTTTTAGATCTATAAACCATATTTTATCTACAGTGTATATGCTATATACAATGAGGGAGAAGTCAAAAGAAATATAACACATTGTATTACTATAATATGGCCCTGATATTTAGGTGATGTAAAACTAATTTTTGGCAGAGCTGAAATGAAAACATTTTTGACTAAAAGTGCTACACTTAACAGTATCTGTCATTTAAAAAATATATTAGTAATGAAATATTTAAAATGGAACTATGTAACTTATCCTATAATGAATATTTTAGTTTTACACATGTATATTCTCAAAAATAAATTTCATCAAGTTTATTTTTGGGTGTATAATTAGCATTCTCAGGGCAGCTAGATGGTGTAGTCAATGGAGCACTGACCCTGCAGTCAGAAGGACCTGAGTTCAAATTCGGTCTCAGACACATAACACTTACTAGCTGTAAGACTCTGGGCAAGTCACTTAACCCCAATTGCCTCATAAAGAAAAAAAAATTAGCATTCTCCATAAAAATCATTATCTCAGTGACGACATTTAATAGGAAAATTGGTTAGATCTAAAATAACTGTTTTATCTATGCTATAGGTGCAATTCCTCTTACAGTCACTAGATGGCAATGTAATCTCTTAATAGCAATGTACTTTAACAAATTTAGAAAGATTTTCATCTTTAGCAGTGTTGATTTACACAGCTTTTGTATATACATACACACATACATGCTATCCTTCTGTTTGCCATTTAAAACCCCAAGAAGTAATGATCTGTCAATCTTTGGGCGATACTCACTTTTTTCACTTACACATGCTCGCTGGGTATTCAATAAATATATTCTGAATTGAATAAATCCATACTGTTAGAGTTGCAACATAACATAAAACTATGATTATTAATTTCCTCTAGAATACATCCTATTTGTTAGTACTGACTCAATGGTAGGTGACACAATCCAACACCTATTAACCATCTATTATATTAAAGGCATTGTGAGCCAAAGCAAGGAGGCAGGAATGCCCACACATTGTGTCCAAGGTATAGTTAGTAATTCTTTGGCCTATAATGTTGTTTAATAGCTAATAATAGCTAGCTTTATTTTATTTCTAAAAATATATAACTTAAAAGTTTGTTTTATACATATCTATATCTATACAGATATATATGTCTTTATCTATGTATCTGTCTTTCTGTCTATTCTCATCTATGTCCTTCCTATTAACAACCAGGCAGAAGATACAATTAGCTCTTTTTTCTTCCTTTCATAATTTATTTTTAGTTTTTAACATTCACTTCCACAAAATTTTGAGTTCTAAATTTTCTCCCCATCTCCCCCCTCCCCACATCCCAAGACTACGTACATTCTGAATACCCCTTCCCTTAATCTGTCCTCCCTTTTATCTCCCTCCTCCACTTCTCTTATCCCCTCCTTTGTATCTCCCCCCTCTTCTCTTATCCCCTTCCCATTCTATTTTCCTGTAGGGCAGGATAGATTTCTATACCCCATTGCCTATATATCTTATTTCCCAGCTGCATGTGAAAATAATTTTTAACATTTGTTTTTAAAACTTTGGGTTCCAAATTTTCTTCCTTCCTCTCTCCTCACCCAACCTCATTGAAAAGGAAAGCAACTCGATACAGGTTATACATGCGTAGTCATGCAAAAAACTTCCATAGTAGTCATGTTGTGGAAGACTTACAATATTGCCCTTCATCCTATCCTGCCCCTCGTTTATTCTATTCTCTTTTGACCCTATCCCTCCTCAAAAGTGTTTGTTTCTGATTATCCCCTCCCCCAATCTGCCCTCCCCTTTATCATCTCCCTGCTGTCTTGTCTCCTTCCTCCCTATTTTCCTGTAGGATAAGATACATTTCCATACCCAATTGAGTGTGTATGGTATTCCCTCCATAAGCCAAATCCAATGAGAATAAGATTCACTCATTCCCTCTCACCTTCTCCCACTCCCCATCTACTGTAAAAGCCTTTTCTTGCCTGTTATATGTGAGATAATTTACCCCATTCTACCTCTTCCTTTCTCTTTCTCCCAGTATAATCCTCTCACCCCTTAATTTTATTCTCCAGATATCACTCCTTCATCTTCAACTCACCCTGTGCCCTTTATCTATCTATCTATCTATCTATCTATCTATCTATCTATCTATCTATCTATCTATCTATCTAATTTTTTCCCCTCCAACTACCCTAATACTGAGAAAGGTCTCACGAGTTACAAATGTTTAATCTTTCCATGTAGGAATGGAAACAGTTCAACCTTAATAAGTCCCTTATGATTTCTTTTTCCTGTTTACCTCTTCGTGCTTCTCTTGAGTATTATATTTGAAAGTCAAATTTTCTATTCAGCTCTGATCTTTTCATCAAGAATGGTTGAAAGTCCTTTATTTCACTGAATGTCCATTCCCCCCCCCCCACCCCAAAGGATTATATTCAGTTTTGCTGGGTAGGTGATTCTTGATTGTAATCCTATCTCCTTTGACCTCCAGAATATTATATTCCAAGCCCTCCAGCCCCTTAATGTAGAAGCTGCTAAATCTTGTGTTATTCTGATTGTGTTTCCACAACACTTGAGTTGTTTCTTTCTGGATGCTTGCAATATTTTCTCCTTGGTCTGGGAACTCTGGAATATGGCTACAATATTGCTAGGAGTTTTCCTTTGGGGATCTCTTTCAGGAGGTGATTGGTGGATTCTTTCCATTTTTATTTTACCCTCTGGTTCTAGAATATCAGGGTAGTTTTCTTTGATAATTTCTTGAAAGATGATGTCTAGGCTCTTTTTTTCATCATGGCTAGTTCAATAATTTTAAAATTCTCTCTCCAGATCTATTTTCCACATTAGTTGTTTTTCCAATGAGATATTTCACATTGTGCTCTATTTTTTCATTCTTTTGGTTTTGTTTTACAATGTCTTGATTTCTCATAAAGTCACTAGCTTCCATTTGCTCCATTCTCATTCTTAAGGAAGTATTTTCTTCAGTGAGCTTTTGGACTTCCTTTTTGATCTGGCCAATTCTGCTTTTTAAGACATTCTTCTCCTCAAAGGCTTTTTGGATATCTTTTGCCATTTGGGTTAGGCTATTTTTTAAGGTGTTATTTTCTTCAGTATTTTTTTGGGTCTCCTTTAGCAAGCTGTTGCCTTGTTTTTCATGATTTTCTTGTATCACTCTCATTTCTCTTCGAAGTTTTTCCTCTACTTCTCGTACTTGCTTCTCAAAATCCTTTTTGAGCTCTTCCATGGCCTAGGACTGATTCATATTTTTCTTGGAGGCTTTGGACGTGGGAGCTTTGACTTTGTTGTCTTCTTTGTCACCAAAGAAAGATTCTATGGTCTGACTTTTTTTGCACAGTTTGCTCATGTTCCCATCCAATTACTTAAGGTTTAAACTCTTTGTTAAGGTAGGAGTCTGCTTCCAGTGTAGAGAACGTACTGTTCCAAGCTTCAGGGGTTTTGTGCAGCTGTTTTCAGAGACACATCTAGGAACCTGTAAATTTTCACTTCTTCCAAGGTGCTATGATCAAAGTCAAGGTGTTTACTCCTTTCCTGGCCTGTACTCTGGTCTATGAGTAACCACAAGCACTCTTTTCTGCCTTGTAACTCCTTGCCCCAGGACTGCCACCCAGAACTGTGACTCTGATCTAAGTACGGGCAAAGCAAGAGAATCCTGCCTCAGCACCAGCAAAGAGATCCATGCAATCCCCCTCTGTTCAGCCACTCAATTCCCCTTCAGTCTGTGAGCCAGAAGCTCCAGAAGCAGCTGCTGCCCTGGTGCTGTGCTGGGATTGGGGCTAGGACTGTGACTTCTCACCGAGGTCACAGACTTTTCCTACTGACCTTCTAACTTGTCTTTGGAGTTTGTGGGTTGAGAAGTCTGGAAACCACTACAGCTACCTGTGATTCAGTCCTCTGAGGGCTGCTTGAGGCTAGCTGAGGCCTGGTCTTTGCCTCAGCGCCTACGCTGAACTGCATTCCTCTCCTAGCCCAGCACGATAGACCTTTCCAATCAACCATCCAGGTTGTCTTGGCCTGGAAATTTGTTTCACTCTGTCTTTTTGTGGATTCTGCTGCTTTAGAATTTGTTTAGAGACATTTTTTACAGGTATTTGGAGGGGTTTGGGGGAGAGCTCAAGGAAGTCACTGCTTTCACTTGGCCATTCTGGCTCCGCCCCTTACTATTAGCTCTTAGCAAAGACATTTTCTAAGGTGGCATAGTCAGAACAGTTGCTACAAAACATCCCATAGCCTGCTGCCTGAAAAATGAAGTTCAAACCTTCTATCTATCCCGGCAACCTTATCTCTTACTATTCTTCTTTACATAGAATTGCCGTGATGATCAAATTATACACACAGACACACATATATACATACATATCCGTGTATATATGCATGTGTATATACATATATACACACACACACATATATATATATATATATTTACATGTAAATGTGCATGGTATGAAAATGTTGTTATATATGAGTTTTTCTTTACACATGTATACTTCATCAGTTACACCTTCAAATATGTAAATATATATCGCAATAATATCACAAAGTTGTTCCTTTCCACTCTACAATCTGACTGAATTATATGATTTCCTCCCATTTTATGATACTATGAATTCTCTCATCAGGTTCTTGAAAATATCATTTTGAAATGAGGAAAAATGACAGTGTTGGGCTTTAAAAGACTCCCTTACCTTCTTTTTGGCTATCATCCATAATAACTTGAGGTTCTGATAGGATGGTCATATGTTTGTTTCTCAGAATGATAAAGTTGCTCAAAGAATCCAAATTATCCTCATATTTTCTACCAGGTTCAAAAGATACATTATAACTTACTGATGAAGTGTATGGTTCAACAGTTAATGCTTTGTAGTCTAGTGATTCATAAGTATCTTTCTTTTCTCCCTCTTTGACTATGGTAGAAACTAGTTCTTCTGGTTTACTCTTTGTCTTTTCTTCTCTTGTTGGTTTTTCAAAAGACATATCAGGAAAACAGGTATGTGGTACACTTTTTGAAGGACTCTTTTGAACAAGTGAGAAGTTATTGTTTGTAGGTTTCTCTGTAGGAGCCATACAAGGAGGAGAGGTTTTGAGTTTGACAATAGTATTACATTTTTCTTCAAGCCACCCTGAAAATAAAAATAAAAATAAATGTCCAATTATATACTTAACATGCCTTCTATAACTAAGTATCCTGATGAGCATAATTTACTGTGGTAATCTAACCAGTATAGTTTGACAATAATGTATAGCAACTTTATCTACTTTCAGCTTTGAACATTTAAAATGTGTTCCCTTTGTAAGGTTTTCTACAAAGATAATGAAATCTTAGTGCAATGTATTCAATTAAAATTCAATTTTAAAAATATTTTTGTTGGGGAAGGTATGTGGCACAGTAGATAAGCTCTGGCCTTGGAGTCAGGTCAACCTGAGTTCAAATCCAACCTTAGACACATGACACTTACTAGCTGTGTGACTTTGGGCAAGTCACTTGACCCCAACTGCCTCACCAAAAAGGCAAAAAAAAAAAGTTTAGGAGGTACAGCTAGGTGGTGCAGTGGATAGGGCACTGGCCCTGGAGTCAGGAGGACCTGAGTTCAAATCCAGTCTCAAACACATAACACTAGCTGTATGACTTTGGGCAAGTCACTTGACCCCAATTACCTCACCCCCCAAAAAAATGTTATTCTAGAATAAATTGACAGTAAAAGATAATATTTCCAAAACCAATAAATCAGAGTATTTCTGGACTTTTGCCCTGGTGCAAAACAAGCACAAAAATACAAGATTATGGATAAATTGGGGCTGTTCTCTATTGTAGCCATTATTACAAGTCCATATATTAATCCAAAGTCAAATATTTCAGTATCTAGTGGATCTGTGATTTCACTAATGTAGCTTCTACAGCAATGTAGATTACAACCTACATATGCCTGTCCACTCATCCTCTACAACTCTTGTGCTCTTATAAGATTGCCAAAGGTGGTACATTCAGTGTGCTAGGGCCCTTTCTCATATTCTCTTGACAATCCAAGGATTAGCAGAGCATGCAAGCTGCCTTTGGTTATCCACTGCTCTTCTGTGACCAGTCCATCTTTTTTCTATCATATTCTGATGACTTTGATGACTGATTTCCACCCATAGGGCAGGCCAGTCACCCTAGAAGAAGCCAAAAATATACTGGGGAAGATAAGAAAGGGGTGTCAAGAGCCAGATGAGTCATACCACCTTGATCCCCACCTCCCTAAGACCCCAAAAGCTAGAGAAAGCCAAGGATTCTGACAACCAAGAGCCCAAGAGTGGCAATGCTACCTGCCACCCCTCCCCCCATACTGCCTGCCCTGCTTTCAGCCTGGCCTCTAGACTAGGCATAATTGAGGGTAGCAAACTCTGTGGAGAATGGATTCACAATCTTTCCCAGAAAGACCCAAAAGCTGACCAGCTACTATTAATGAGCAAATAAGCCTGAGAACCTCTGGAATGGTAGTATGGCTTCTCCCCTATCCCCACTGACCATGCTTCCCAAACAATACTTGAAGGTAGTATCCAGGGAATAAATCCTTACAAGATGTGACTAGGCAACTGCCTCTTTGGCAGCCACAGCTACTGAAGACCCAGAAAAGAAAGTTCTTGCCTTCAAAGTCCTTGGCATTGTCAAACGAACATCAGAAACAGATACTGTTTATATCAGTAGAAATAACATTAAAGAAGATTCATTACCATTGGCTTTGCTGTTGCAAAAACAGCGAAGTACCATGGGGCCTCAACAGAATGTAAGTAGGGATTATCTTTTTTTAATATTTGAATCACTAGTGCTTAGCACAGTATTTTGTACATAGCAATCACACAGTAAACGTTTTTTCATTCATTCCTTTGTTCCAACACTTATCTTATGTAAGTGTTTGAAATGGGCTATAGTATATTCACACCCACCATGTGGCTCTCCAGTGCTATCTGGGTGATCAACTTCAATTTTTCAGTGATTGTAATGTTCCTTAATCCATAATAAATATAAAATATAAAATTAAATATTGGAAAAACATTAGCATTACATAAAAAGTCAGATATATTTTAAAGAGAGATGTCTATTTTCCTTTTAAAACATGCTTTCAAAAAAAAAGTTAACTAAATTATAATATAAAGAGAAAAGCGAATTTCATTTCATTTAAAATAAGTTTTAGTGATAACTTCTGTGTTTCTACCACAGTCATTTCTGGACACATCCCTATCCCTTCCTTTGTAATGTGGCCAGATATCATATAGCTTGAAAAAAGAACCTGTGGGTTTTAGTGTACTGCAAACTCAATATAAGTCAACAATATGCTACGAAAATCAAAAAAAGTCACATGATCATAGACTGCAGCAAGACAGGCAAAGCATTAGCATTACAGAGGTGACAGTCCCACTGTACTCTACTCTGTTCACATTGAATATTGTATTCAGTTCTAAGTGCCATATTTTAGGAAGAGCATTGACAAATTAGAGAGCGTCTAAAGAGGGCAACCAGGACTTTGAAAGGTCTTAGGCTCATGACACATGATCAATTATCAGACTTGGTTATGTTTAACCTGGAGAAGAAATGCCTTAGGTTCAGGAGTGTATTGCAGCTAGCTTGTGGAAGAGATGACTGTTAAGTTTTCAATGTGAGCATTTACACCTTGGAAATCAGCAAATGCTACAAATCAGAGCTTAATTTATTATTTTGCTGATTGCCTAGGCTTAAGAAAATGATGGAGAAAATGTTAATAATGCAGATTATTTAATATTTATTATAATTTAATAATTATTATGTTAATATGACACAATAGTTATGCTATTATAAATTATAATTATTAACATAATTATGACATAATAATTATGTTAATTATTTTAAATGTTACTAATACAGATATATTTTCTCCCAGAAAGCTGGTTATTTAACATTTACCAGCACATACCTAAACATAATAATCTGTCTTAAAATATCTGAAGGGCTGTCAGGTAAAAAAAGGAATAGATTTGTTCAGCTTTGCCTTGGAACAATGGGTGAGCTAACAGTTGGGACTTGTATTGTGCTTTAAAAAAGTTTACAAGACACTTTACACTTGAGGTAGGTATTATTATTCTCATTCTACAGATAAGGAAACTGTGTCTCAGAGAAGTTAAATGATTTGCCTGTGATTGCATAGATAGTAAGTGTCAGGTCTAAGACCTAAATGCAGGTCTTCTCTATTCTAAATCCACTACTTTATCCACTATGGAGTTGAAAACTGGCAAATTTAGGCTTGAGATGAAGTAAAACCTCCTAACTATTAGTTATTAAAAAGAGAAATGGGCTGCTTTATGGTCACCACTTATAGATATGTTGGGGAGAGGATCCTTATTTAGGTATAAAATGGACTAGATGACATTAAAACTTTGAGATTCTGTGATTCTGGCTGAAGAAGGGTAAAAAAAATAATGCTTTTTTTCAAAAAAATGAAAAGGGGAATCTATAAACTATAGGCCAATGAGTTTTTACTATTCCTAGTAAAATTCTTGAATATATTATTAGAAGGGATGATTAATGAAAATTTAGAAAAGGAAGCAATGATGAAAAAAACAGCATGGCTTCATCAAAAACAGGATATCAATCAATCATTTATTAAACAGTTACTATTATGGAAGATACAAGTGTAACCTGTAGCTCAAAGCCCATTTGCATGGGACTGCCCTCTTTGGTTATTGACAACTCAATGTTCCACACCTGCATCAGAAGTGGAGTTGGTGAGAGTTTTGGAAAAGAGACATCCAGCTCTTCAGGCTTCCAACTCCAAGACAGAAGAAGAAATACAGTTTAAGATTCTATTCCAGGACAGATCCCTGACATGGGAAAAAGACTCTGGGAATACGTGGAAGAGCCAGAATCTTGAACATGTCCCTATCCCCAGCTTCCTTCACTATTAGACACTTTTCCCTTTGGGTGAGATCTGGGATTTTCTGAGATCTCTGTTTATTTCTCTATTTCAATTCCTACTCTCAATGAGCTTACATTCTAACAGAGTGACACAAGTACATGTACAAATATATATATATATATATATATATATATATCATAAACATAAAATTAATAAATACAAATATATACAAAGTAGTTAGATATGAGGTAGTTTGGGATGGAGGGCATTAGCAGTTAGATGGATCAGGAAAGACTCATGCAGAAGATGGTACTTAAGCTGCATCTTAAAGGAAGTGAGATAGAAACATGGAGGGATTACATAACAAAAATTAGGGACAACTAATAAGTCTTGGAGATGGGACATAGAATGTTATATATAAGGAACAGAGAGAAGGTCAGTCTGGCTGGATCACAAGGTATAGGAAAGGCAGTAATACACAATGAAGCTGGAAAGAGACTGGGACCAGACTGCACAGAGCTTTAAAAGTTAAACAAAAAAGTTTCTATTTTATCCTAGAGGCAACAGGAAGCCACTGGAGTTGGATGAGTAGGTGATACATGTGGTCAGATCTGTGTTTAAAGAAAACTACCTTGGCAGCAGTGGAGTGGGCAGAGACTGGAGGCAGGGAGCCTGCTGAAGGAGGCTGTTGCAATAACCTAGGTGAGGAGTGATAAGGGCCTTAATTAAGTGGGGAGTTGTGTAATTGTAGAGAAGGGGTTGGATGTAAGAGACACTGTGAAGGTAGAAATGGCAAGATTTGGTAACTTATTGGATATGTGGGGTAGAGGAGAGTGAGGAGTTGAAGATAATGCTAACCTTATGAATTTTGGAGACTGGAGGGATAGTGGTGCCTAATATAGAAATAGGGAAGTTTAGAAGAAGGTAAGGTTTAGGGAGAAAGATATTGAATTTAGTTTTAGACATGTTGAGTTAAAGATGTTGCTTCCCCCATGTTCCTCAACATGCTCCCCACACCCATTTTCTACTCCCCGGCCAGGTTCTTGCATCAATCTGTGGGTATGTGTCCACCAATCAAATTTATTAGCTAACACCCTCACCTAATTATCCATTTACTCTTTCCCTTCATAGCATCCCATCAAATACAAATACTCCTTCATTATATTAGTGTCATTATCTTACTCTTCAACTAAATGGATTAGATGTTGGTTCAGACTTTTGATTTTATCAGTATAGGGAGATTTCTATGGAGGAACCTCTCTCTACCACTGCAATCAGTAACTTCTGCAAATTATAGTTTTTCCTGGAGGGACTGAGAAGTTAAGTGACTTGTTTATAAGTATGTGTCAGAGCCGTGACTTGAATCCAGATCTTCCTGAGGCCAAGGCTGGTTCTCTATTTATTATGTCATGTTGGCTCTCTTGTATTAGACAAAAAACAAACAATAAAAAAATACTCCCTTGATTCTGAAGAAGTGGCATGGTGCAGTGGAAGAAGCAATGCACTAGGAATTAAAAGGTCTTATTTCAATTTTTTGTTCTGACACCAATGAGGCAACTTACTTAACCTCAGTGAGCCTCAATTTCCACATTTGCAAATGAAGATTATGAATGATGAAGGTTATAGATGATAACTAAGGGCCCCTCTAGCTGCAACATTCTGATTTTACCCCACTGTGTTAGATTGAATTTAGGATTCTGCCCCAGTTCTGTCCTCACCATCATTATCAAATTTCTTTTAAAAGTAGTCTACACTGATGCCTTCACTTCTTTAAACCTATTCACACTCTCCATTCCCTTATAGTATTCTCAACACTGCAGAAATTGTTCTCTCAAAAGTTACTCAGTGATGACCTGTGATATACTGAGTTCAATGAAATTCTTTTAGTCATCATGTTCCTCAACCTTTGAGCAGCATCAGTACTGTTAACTATATCCTCCTACTATCCCCATTTGTCATACTTTCACAGCCTACTCTCTATGATAATTATTTGAGTACATATCTTATCATCTCTGTTAGAATGTAAGTTCCATGAGGGCAGTGACTGTAGCACTTGTTTTTTAAAAAAATTTTTCCCATAACACCTCATACAATAGATTGCAAATAAGTGCATAGTTGCACTCTCAAAAAATATTTATTGAATGAACAAATGAATAGTGACTAGTTTGATATGAACAGAAATAATTTTACTAAGCAATTAATTATTTGTTAATAACAATATTATCATTGAAGCTGGAAAGAGTTAGGAACTAAAGAAAACTCTATAAGTGAAACAGAGAAGTGGGTCCTTTCCAAATTTTAAGCAAAAAGTTAGGAGTTGTGGAAAGATACTAAAAACCACGGGGCAGTTAGGTGGTGCAGTGGATAGAGCACCGGCCCTGAAGTCAGGAGTACCTGAGTTCAAACCTGGACTCAGATCAAACACTTGACACTTACTAGCTGTGTGACCCTGGGCAAGTCACTTAACCCCAATTGCCCAAAAAAAAAGATACTAAAAACCTCCTTTTAGGTTCAACTGAAAACATTAAGATTTCCTTTTGGAAAGCTGTAGAACAAAAGCTAAGGACTTTTTTTTTAGGGAAATGAATTAAGGGTGACAACCAAATTTAACTCTAGCCTAGGTAAAGATCATTGCTTCTCACCCACTTGAAATCATGATCCACCTAAGGTAGTGTTCTTTTTTAAATTTAAAGTTAAAATATTGATCACAGGGAGAGAACCCTTTTCAATTCATGAAGAGAATGGTCCAGGAAGGAACTGAGTAGAGACTATTCTGGCTTGTTAATCGCAAACTATATATTAATACACTATGATCTTTTCTTAGTTCAAAAGTCCTATAAATGTTACCTTAAACTGTCTTGAAGTAGAGACATGTCAGAGAGCATGGGGGAAACAAGCCAGTTTAGGTATCTTTCTAAGCTAGAAATGACTTGGACATTATATTAATGCTAAATAAAACTGTTTCTGGCAAAAATTGTTCCAAAAATGCAGAGTACAGTATTAATACATATTTTTTCAACACAGTGTATATTTGCTTTGGGGCAGGTAGGTGGCACAGTGGATAGAGCACTCGGCTTATAAGTCAGGAAGACCTAAGTTCAAATGTGACCTTAGATCCTTAGTAGCTGTGTAACCCTAGGCAAGTCACTTAACCCTGTTTGCCTCAGTTTCCTCATCTGTAAAATAAGCTGAAGGAAATGGCAAACCATTCCAGTATCTTTGCCTTGAAAACCCCAAAAGGAGTCATGAAGAGTAGGACATGACTGAACAACAAATATAAATTGTAATTATAAATGTTTCCTTTAATCAGTTACCAGCATCGACCAGGCAACTATAAATTTCTAACCCTCTAAGAAATGGTTTTAAGATTGGTTACTTACACTCCAGCTGAAGTGGTTTTACAGGCAATATCTCCATTTGAGTTGGAATATCTTCATTTTGATTGTGATAACACAGATCTGGAGTCAGATGTTCCAAGGTATCTGTCATTATCATGTTCAGTCCCTCTTGTTTCCACCATTCTTCTTTTAATGAATCAAGCATAATGATTTCTACCTCAACAGCAAATATTCGTTTCAAAGCTGTAATTGAGTAGTGTGTTATAGGCTCTTCAATTTGTGGCACTGAAAAACAAATAGGCAGAAATAATTCACAAAAGTTGCAAAGAGAAGTTTAGAAAAACATCATGGAAATATAGCTATATTGTCATGAAACATTTTACACTTTAAAATGATTATGAAAATTTAAGTCATCTTTAACAATTTTTCCTAGAATAAACAAACATTTGGAAATAGGCACATCTGCACTTTTAAAATACATTTGATTTAACTTATATAGAGAAAATAAAAATAAAAAAAGAAAATATTTTTAAGTACAAAACTTTCCAACTTATTAAGGAGTAAAATCATAAAACACAGTTGGATATCCAAAATGAACAAAAGAGATGTGGGGGTATGGTGGTCAAGTCACAAATAAGTATTTCCCATCTTTTGGGAAGACTGGCACACTGCTATTTTCTTTTAACAAAGACCAAACCACCCTAATGCTAGCAGGAGAAGAAACTAAAATTTATTTTGCTTATGTATTCTGACACTGAATTACAATTTGGAAAAATTTGCAGAAATTGTACTTAAACCATAAAATATAATTCTTTGTATGAAAAAGGGAGGTATTTCATAATGAATTTCATCTTGTGTAGGCTATCTCAAAAAACAGTTATTTGGCCCAAATGGTTATAGTTTTTAAAATGTACTTATTTTAAAAATTAATACTAAAGTTTCAACTTCTGTTGAGAAGAATAAATATAAAACAAACAGCTAAGAAAATAAATACTAAAAAGGATTGCAAATGACTGTATGCATTTGTAAACTTTTATTCTGAGGTATTAGTTCAGTTCCACAAACTCTTATTAGGTGCTTACTATGAATATTCAAAAACATAAATGAAAGTACTACTGCCCTGAAGAACCTAACTTTCTATAGGGGTGATACAACATGTACGTGATTAAGTATATACAAAGTAACTTCAAGAGAAACAGTGTTAATGATGTCTAAAAGAAAGATCCTGGGAAGGGAGGTGAAAAGAAGAGAAGGAAGAAAGACCAAGACTGTATCAAGCAGAAGTGAGGTCAAAGTACATTCTAGATATGGGAGACCATTTTGTCAATAGTCATTTATTAAGCATCTACTGTACGACAGGCACTGTGTTAAGTGCTGAGGATACAAAAAGAAAAACCAAAACAAAACAGTCCCCATATTTGAGAAGCTCACAATCAAATGGGATGGGGGTGGGGAGAAGACAACAAGCAAATAAATATGTACAAACAACCTATATGCAGCATAAATAAGACAAAACCAACAGAAGGGAAAAGCACCAAAATCATGAGGGGCTGGAGATGGCTTCCTGTAAAAGATGGAACCTAAGCTGGGACTTGAACGAAGCCAGGAAGCAGAGATAAGGAGGGAGAGTATTCCAGAAATAGGTGAGAGCCAGAGAGAATATCCAGAGCTGAGCAATGGAGCGCTCATGACACTGGATCAAAGGATGTATGGTGGGGAATAAGGTGTAAGACTAGAAAGGCAAATTAGGTTTGGGTTATAAAGAACCTGGAGGTGATAAGGAGCCAGTGCAGTTTATTGTGTAGGAGAGTGGGGTGATATGGTTAGATGGGAATGTAGGACTATCACTCTGGCATCTGAACAGAGGATAGACTACAATGGGGAAAGACTCGTGGCAGGCAGACTCACCAGCAGGTTATGAACTGTGAACGGTGAACACCCAGCAGGCAAGTTTGCCTGTAACAAGGTATATGTGAAGGGGAATAATATAATAACATAATACTATAGTGGAAATCAAAATGGTTCTCTGTTAGGCACTAGAGATACATATATTTAAAAAGTAAGACAGTCCCTCCCCTCAATGAATCAGAATTTGAGATTTGGAAGAGTCTTCAGAGGCCATCTAGTGCAACTCATACACCCAAAGCATCCCCACTATAACATTTCCAGATGGTTCTCTAAACTCACCCTGAAGACTTCTAAGGAAGGGAAGGGGAAACCCACCACTTCTTGAGGGAGTGAGTTCATGCCACTTTTGGACAGCTCCAAGTGTTAAGAAAGTTTTCCTGACATAGAAGCCTAAACTTAACTTTTTGCCCCCTCCTACCCATTGCTTCTGGTTCTTCCCTCTGGGAACAAAAGGAAGGAGGTCTAGTCTGTCAAAACACATCCCTTCAAATACTTAAAGAGAGCTATCTATCACATTTTCCCCCATCCCTCCCCCCAAATCTTGACATGGGATTAAGGTTCTCCACCATCCTGGTTTCCTTCTTCTGGACATTCTTCAACTTATTAATGTCCTTACCATGGCTCTCAAAATTGAACACACTATTACAGATGAGGTCTGACAAGGGCAGAGTACAGTGGGATATCACCTACCATTCCTGGAAATTATTCCTTTTTTAAATGCAGCCCAAGATTGCATCAGCTTTCTTAGCTGCCACATCACACTGATACGTGGAGATTGCTATGGACTCAAACTCTCACATCTTTTTCAGAACAACTGTTGTCTATCCATAACTCTCCCATCTTATACTTACGAAATTGTTGCTGTTGTTTTGGTACCCAAGTGCACAACTTCACATTTATCTCTACTGAATTTCATCTTCTTAGTTTCAGCCCACCCCTCTAGCTGACATGTCTCTAGTGCTCTATCCTGTCAAGATCTTTTTGTTTCCTGACTCCATCATCCAGCATGTTAACAAACCTTCCTGGCTTGGTGCCCTCTGCACAAAGGAGCACATATTCTAGTAGGTGGTTACATCATGCACACAGATGAGTGCATTGGTTGCACAATGCACAATATGCATTGGTTGGAGGAGAATCCAGAAAAAAGCCTTTGGAGAGATGAATAACAATGAAAGGATTTAGAGACTCCAAGAGGAGATGGTGGAAAAGAAGGCTCATTCTCATTGAGAAGGGACAGCTTCTCAAAGGCAAAGAAGTGGGAGATGGAATGTTGTAAGCGTGGAACAGCAAGAAGGTGAGTTTGGCTGGCACATAGAGCACAGGAGGGGAAACAATGTACTATCAGCCTGGAAAGACAGGCTGAAGTCAGATTGTGAAAGCTTTAAAATGCCAAATATAGGGATTTGTATTTTGTATTAAGGGCAATGGGGAGCCAACAAAGCCTCCTGAGCAAAGGACTGACATTGTCAGACCTATGCTTTGGAAATATTAATGTGATAGCTGTGTGGGTGATGGATTGGAGGCAGGGAGATATATTAGAAGGCTATTGATGTTATTCAGGCAGTAGGTGATGAGGGTTTGACCTAGCCTGGTTATAGTATGAATAGAGAGAAGGGGATAAATGGGAGAAATAATAAGGAGATAGAATTGACAAGACTTGGCAAACAACTGGATATGGGAAGATCAGAGAGGTGAATCATAGAATGAAAGACTTAGAGCTAGAAGGGAACTTAGAGGTCAAGTCCTATTGTATAGGAAATTGAGGCTGAGAGGGGTTAAGTAACTGGCCCAGGGTCACATAGCTATATGAGGCAGGATTTGAACTCAGATATTTCTGATTCTGAGCCCAATCCTCTATCCACTGTGCAATCTAACAGTTGACTCTTATGTTGTGAACCTGGGTGCCTAGAAGAATGTTTATACTCTGAAAGGGGTTTGGTTTGTAATTCCTTAAATATGTCACTGCTTAGCTTCAAGGAAACCAAGCTCAAGTCTCATCTTCTTCAGGAAGCCTTTTCTGGTATCCCAGCTGGTACCTTGCCCTCTCAGACTGTTTCTATCTGTTCTAAACATCTTGAATATACCTAGTCATATAATAATAATAATAATAATAATAATAATAATAATAATAATAATAGCAATAACAACATTTATATATCACTTGTTATGTGCTAAGGCACTGGGCTAAGTGCTTTACATTTATTATCTCATTTGATCTTCACAACAACCCTGAGAAGTAGGGGATATGATTATCCTCATTTTACAGGATCCAAAGTGGTTAATAACTTGGCCAGGATCATAAAGCAGCAAATGCCAGAGAGAGTATTCAAACACAAGCTCTACCCTAGACCCAGGGCTTTTCCCACTATACTGAGCTGATAAAAATACTACAATGGTAGAATTTTCCCACTTTAACAAAAAGCCCTATTATAAAATAAGTGTCATTTCCATTATTGTAAAAATTTCCTTCTTTTTCATTCATAACTGGGAAAATATGTTACTTTTCATTAACACAGGTTATGTGCTTTTAAATATTTTTAAGCATAGTATACAAGTCTCTGAAGAACTAATATAAGATGCCCTATCTAACTAAAATCAGTTTTTTTTATCAGTTATATTATTAATACTTTCTGAAGAAAAAAACTTCTTAGGAAGGAACTCTACAGATTAACAAAAATGTATCACAAAAATGGATTTTTCTTATAACAATGACCTTAATTCTCAATTTTTTGTTGTGTTTCTAAAATCTGGATGGCAGGTAAATTTTTTTTAAAAAATTGGATGTTTTCAAATATGCAGATTATTTGTCTCATCATAAAATACTTGGATGTTGAACAGAAATTTCACTTTTCTGCTGAATTATTTACTGTATATTTGGCAGACTTGTATTCCCTATGAGGCTCTAAGTTCCATGGAGGCACAGTCCATTTCACCTTTATGGACAGCAAGTAGAGATACACCTGGGAAAGTGGACAATGTCTGATTTACAAACCTATGACCCCCAAATGATCCATATGAAGTTCTGCTTCCACATACATCTACTGCTTGATCCTACTGGTCCCTCTCCTCTAGCATTTATACCCTCATCCTCATTCACTAAAGCTACTGAGTCCAAGAGAAGTAAAATGATTTGTGAAAGGTCAGCAAAGCTTGTCTCTTCGTCTAGTGTTTTTCACGTTGCCTTTCTTATATTATGGCTTAAATAGGCTTGCATGGGTTACCCTAAGAACCTAATAGTTATTTATTTACAGCATTTCTATGGGAAAAAATATGTGCTAAGTTCTAAACAACTGACTTCTAAATGAACTTTTGGAACACAACTCATTAGTGTGTTTGCTTGTATAGGCTGTATGTATAGCCTTGCCAACAAAGTCTTTTTGTACATTATAAGTATTTAGATGTATGTCCTAGACCTAGATTAATGTTATCTAGCATTTCTTGTGCTTGTGCTTTTCCTTATCTAGATGCACTTCTCCTACAGCAACTGAGCACATGCAAATAGGCATTCCTTACCTGCAAGTAAAAGAGAGTCCAGGGAACTTTGATAGTTTTCTGACCACAGCTCCACCCTGCATTCCTTAGTGTAATTTTCAGCTGGAGTAAAATTACTGAAAAATATTTATATTAAGAGATTTAAATTAATACCTTTAGAACATCTAGAATTTTCTTACTTTTTTGTATTACAAAATCATAGCTGAGAAAAAGTAAATTTTCTGAGCCCTTTTTTAACTTTGGAAAATAAGAATACTAATCCCATTTTATACATGTAAAGACTGAGCTAAAAAGGACATTTTCAAATTCAGATAACCAATATCTGACAAGAAGTCTTTACCTGTCAGTCATCTTCATGAATGATGGTGTCAAGAGAGGAGACACTTTTCTCCACTGGCATTTTTGGCATACTCTACTATCATTTTTAGCATGTCAATTTAGCTTAACTTTAGGCATTGCTAGTTGAACTAAAAGTTCAGAGACCAGGTCAGATATGATTCTAGTCAATCTAGTCATCAATAGTTGAAATGACAGTTCAAGGCCAGGGCCAGATATGGTTCCAGGTTTGGAAGATGTTAGAATATCTAATTTTCCCACATAATACAGAAAATTTGGACATTTTGTGGCAAAAGGAGGCAACCAAGTTTCTGAATATCCAGGTATTCTGATGCTGAATACCTGGAGATTCTGGACTGTGGAAGCAAATCTATAAATGACAGGAAGGAATAGAAAAAAAGGAGGTGAACTTCATAGAGAAGCTATTGTAGAGGACCTACACAGGCAAATATGGTAACTCTGCATGACATTTTGTGAAGGCAAGTCTAAAATGGATGTGTAATTGAGTCATGGGCCAAAATATCTTCATGGCTTAAGAATCCATTGGTAAGAGAAGAAAAGTTTTCATATTCCATAGGGTAGGGATCATGTCTTTCTATCTCTCACTGTGATTGTCCTGGTGCTTTGCACACAGTAAATAATAAATACTTGATTTGTTGAGCTATAGGGTATTTCATAAAAGAAGTAACCTCAGTAATGGGTGACATAGTAAATAAAGTGCATCATACAATTAATCAATCAACAAGTATTTATTAAGAGTCAGTTAGTGTTCCAGGAACTGAGGATATAAAGACAAAAATGAAAGGCTGCTGTTCAACAAGTACACATAAGTATCTAGGAAACAGACAGAAAGTAAATACATGGTAATTTTGGAGAAGAGGAACAAGAAGCTGGGATTGGGGATCAGGAAAATTTCATGTAGGAGCTCATGTACTGAGCTTTGAAGGAAACTAGCCATTCTAAGACGTAGGTGAAAAGAAAAGGCTTGGGCAAAGGCACAGAGATGAGAGATGGATTATCTTATATGAGGAACCATAAAGTAGCCAGTTTGACTGGACCAAAGAGGATGTGAAGGAGAACAATATGTGTAAGGCTGGAAAAACAGGTTAGAACCAAACTGTTAAAGGATTTAAACGTCAAGCAGAAGAATTTGTGATCCTAAAAGCAACAGGAAGCAACTAGAGATTATTGAGCAGGGAAGTGAGACATGGTCAGACTTGTACTTCAGAAATGTAACTTTGGTGGTTGTGTGGACTGGAGGGGGAAGAGTCTTAACATAGAGAGACCAATTAGAAGGCTATTATAATAGACAAGAGGGGATGAGGGCCTGACAGGGTGATAGTTGTTCATATGAAAAAATGGTATAGGGGCAGCTAGGTAGTGCAGTGGATAGAGCACCGGCCCTGGATTCAGAGGACGTGAGTTCAAATCCGGCCTCAGACACATAACACTTACTAGCTGTGTGACCTGGGCAAGTCACTTAATCCCATTGCCTAGCCAAAAACAAAAACAAAAAAAAATGGTATGGATGTGAAGGATATTACAGAGGTAAAATTTGAGGGCACAGAGAAGAAAGGGTAGAGACAGGAATTATTACCCTATGCAAATCTTCAGAGCTCCTTCTCAGGGCATTTATATAGGTCTATTCTCTGTTAGGTCAGAGAATTGAGTTTATGTCCCTTAAGGCAAATCAAATAAGCATTATCAATTGATGGTCCCAGTGCAGAATTACAGAAACTAGGACTCTAGAAAGTTAAATGAGTTGTCCAGAGTCTTACCCATAGCCTACCCATAACTGTTCTTACATTCATTTTTGTTATTGGTTATTTCTAACTATTTGTACAAACAAATGGAGCTATCAATTTCAAAGGGAAAGTACATTTAAAACATTTTCTTAGAGTCTATTTACAGGAGAATGGGGAAAACCATATTTTTCTTCCACATAGGCTAAAAGAACCAGGAAGCTTTCTCCAGAACATGGGAAAATTTGGCCCCACAAAATATATTTAATTAAAAATCAGCATTTTTGGAATTGCATTTTATCCCATTTTTACTTACATATTATAAACAGGAGAAAGTTGATATGTTTGAAGTCCAGCATGTATCGGATTTACCAGGGAATGCTGGGTTATTAGACGTGGAGGAGTTAAAGGCGTTTCTAACTCACCTGAAAGACACAGACTGTGAAAAACTAAAACCAGAGGGGAAAAGTCACAATGTGAATGTGAAAATGAATGAGTTTAATTATTATTATGAATTTTCCCATTATTACTTTTGTTCATATTATATTGGATAAAGGTAGTTTCAAAAGCACCAATTGATAATTTGACCTAAAAGTAAGCATGAATTAAACAAAACTGAACAAATATATAAAAAAGAAGCTCATGTTGGAGCTAAAACAATTTTGAAGAATCTTTGGGGTTGAATTTCAGTGTGGTATAGTGGAAAGAGGGCTGGACTTGGAGTCAGGAAAGACAGAGTTTGAATTTCACCATTAATTACTAAGTGACCATAAGCAAGTTATTTAACCTCTGTGAGCCTCAGGTTTCTTCATCTCTAAAATGGATATCTCTACTTATATCTACCTTGCATCATAAATCAAATGAAATGATGCGTACAAAATCCCTTGTAAACCTTAAAGTACTATATAAACGTTAGCTATCACCAACATTATCATTGTCATATCTTAAAGGTTTCAAAACAATGGAAAAGATTATGGATGGCAGAGATGGCAAAAAGATAACTGAGAAGATATCAGCAACTACCTACCCATAGAACTATATCATTTCTATAAAATTTTTAAAGAGCTGATTAAAGAAATCAGCAATAACAGACTTTTTCCCCTAAGAATTTGGCTATGAAAGGGAGGAAAAACACAGGGAAATAGTTTAAGGGGATAGTAGGTTAAGTGAGTTTTTTTTTTAAAGGATGGAGGAGACCTGGGAGCATTTATAAGCATTAGGGACTTAACCTGTAAATAAATTTATGGAAAGATATAGACTAGGATTGTAAAGGATGAGATGACATGAATGGATTTGTGTTGATAGAAGGGCTCACATGCATGAGATTATATATACACATAAATATCTTTATTAAGTGTTCATCAGTTATCAAGAAAATGTAATTTTGCATGCCAGTGCTTTGCACTGATAAATGTGTACTCTAGCCTACATATTATACAATACATCGTCAGAACAGGCTATGTGGTCACATAACCTGTGATGCAAGACATCACAGAAAAGTAACTCTAGATTCAAATTGTTGTTGTTGTTGTTCAGTCATTTTCAGTCATGTCTGACTCTTGATGACCCCGTGTGGGGTTTTCTTGGCAAAGATACTGACGTGGTTTGCCATTTCCTTCTCCAGCTCATTTTACAGATGAGGAACTGAGGCGAACAGCACTTAAGTGATTTGTCCAAGGTCACACAGTTAGTAAGAGGAGTTTTCCTGACTCAAAACGCTTTATTGTGCCACCTGTTGCCCCCAATAACAGGCCCATCCTAATGGTATGGAAGCTTTAATCTGCTCTATTTTTTCTGAAGAGGATAAAGTTGACCCTCCTTAGGCAGCCTGGTAGCTGCCTTCTCTGGGGGCTCATCTTATTGGTGCCAGACTGAGCATGGACACTGGCTATTGCCCTATTACAGCTCAGAGTCCCCAAACTCAAGTGATCCACAAACCTTAGCATCCCCCAGTAGCACGGATTATAGATGTATATCACCACACCCAGTTTATAACAGTTCTTAAATATTTTCACTACAATATTGATCTGTTTTTGGTATTTAGCTGAAATTTTTTCTTTTTTTCTGGTTCTCTCACTTTTCCTTATTTTATTTTTTAATCTCTATGACTTTTCTCTCTCTATCCAGCCTGAATTTAAGTCAGTTAGAATGATTGGTATGAAGGAAAAAAAAATGAAAAAATGGAATGACTTAAAATCAAACTAACTTGAAGACTAACCAAAGAATATATGCAAATACACTGATGTTCTCTTATTTCATAGGCTTCATGACCTTTGGGAAAAACTTAGGGAGATCACTGATTTATACAGTAGTTCTACCTTGTTCGCTGCTTTCTAGTTCACATTGGTCCTGGCTGGTACAAATCCTCTCTGTGGGGTGGTATCCTGTCACAGTTTCATTCTTATACTTGGTAGGGAGGGCTGAAAAAGAAAGATATAAGCTTTACTAATAACAAAAACATGGATTAGTTTATTTCCTTGCTACAATTTTTAGTGATTCTTCTCCTTCCATCCTTCCCCACAACAGTCTTTAATTTTCTTCATATAAAAAAAAATTATGCTGTCTTCCAAAGTCAGGATTTATATCAATGTGAAATCACTTTGCTTTCATTAAAAAAAAAGTTTGCCTTCAATTTTTTTTTTTACTTTGGTGGCATTGTGGTTTTTGTAGGGAAGAATTCACACTCGCTATTGTTGGTAGGATTAAAACAATGGCAAATATGAATTACCAAAATGTCAACCACTTACCCTTTATGAACAAAATAAAAAGATATCTAGCTCCCATTAATGCAGATAATACCTGGAAGGCAAAGTGGTATATTGTAAAGAGTATTGGAAAAAGTATTAGATTTGCAGACAGAAGACCTGAGTTCTATATCTGGCTCTTTCATTTACAACCTGAATGACCACAGGCAAGTCATTTAACCTTTCTGAGCCTCGGTTTCCTTCTTTGTGAAATGAGAGTTTTTAACTAAATAACTTCTAAGTTTCCTTTCAGCTCTAAATCTATGATCCTAGGGTTTATTAAGAGAAAGAAAAGGCATCTAGCAAAGTACCCCTTGCCCTGACTCTAGTTTGGTATCTAATGCCTTCTACAAGTTTTCTGTGAAGGCCAGTCACCTGAGCAACTTTTTATACAAGGTTTATACAAGGTGACTGTGAAAGAAGCTGAGTAAAAAGAAAGATAACCTTTAGCACCTGGATTTGCCTTCACAAAATTATTGCCTTTGACTCTCACAATAGCATAAAGTAGGCAAGATGGATATTATTTATTTTCATTTTTTCAGATGAGGACACAGTGTGCTATAGTATATACAGTGCTGATTTGTTTTCAGGAAGACCATGGCAAAGTTTACTTAAACTGAGCTTCAGTTTCTCCCCTGTAAAATGGAGATAATACCTGTAGTACTCACTTCACAGGATTTTGGTTTTTGAAAGTAAAAAAAAAAGTATGCTTCAATCTCTATTCAGACACCATCAGTTCTTTCTCTGGGTATGGATAGCATTTTTCATTACAAGTCCTTCAGAATTGTCCTAGATCATTGCATTTTGAGAATAGCTAAGTCATTCACAGCTGATCATCTTGCAATATTGCTGTTACTTTGCATCAACCGACGCAAGTTTTTCCAAGTTTTTCTGAAAGCATTCTGCTCATCATTTCTTATAACACAATAGTATTCCATCATAATCATGTACCACAACTTGTTCAGCCATTCTCTATTTGATGGGCAACCCCTCAATTTCTAATTCTTTACCTCCAGAAAAGAGTTGCTATAAATATTTTTGTACGTATAAGTCCTTTTCCTTTTTGTTTTTATCTCTTTTGGGAAACAGACGTAGTAGTGGCATTGCTAGATCAAAGGGTATGCATGGTTTTATAGCCCTTTGGATATAGTTCCAAATTGCTCTATAGTATGTTGAATCAGTTCACAAATCCTCCAAAATTAATGTCTCATTTTCCCCACATCTCCTCCAACATTTGTCATTTACCTTTTCTGTCCTATTAGCCAATCTAATTGGTATGAGGTAGTACCTCAGAATTGTTTTAATTTGCATTTCTCCAATCAACAGTGAGTTATAATTTTTTTTCATATAGCTATTGATGGCCTTGCTTACTTCATCCAAAAACTGATTATATCTTTTCATCATTTATCAATTGGGGAATGGCTCTTATTTTTATAAATTTGACACAGTTCTCTGTATGTTAGAGAAATGAGGCCTTTTTCAGAGAAACTTGCTTCAATTTTTTTTCCAGTTACTAATACAATTGCTAGTTGTATTTCCCTCCATCCTATTCCCTCTTTCCCTGTTTATTCTATTTCAAAAGTGTTTTGCTTCTGACTATCCATTCCCCCAATCTGCTCTCCTTTCTATCACCCCCATCCCCTTCCCCTTCTACTTTCTTGTAAGATAAGATAGATTTCTATATCTCATTGTCTATGTATGTTATTCACTCTTTGAGCCAATTCTGATGAGAGTAAGGTTCACTCACTGCCCCTTCTCCCCCCTTCTCCTCCACTGTAAAAGCTTTACTTCACAGGATTTTTGTGAGGTTCAAATGAGATAATAATAATTATAACTTTATATAGCACTTTAAAGTGTGCAAAGAACTTTACATATTATCTCATTTGAGCCTTACAATAATCCTGTGAGGTAGGTGCTATTATTCCCATTTCACAGGTGAGAAAACCAAGACTCAAAGATGTTTGGAGATAATACATGTAAACTTCTTTGTAAAATTTAAAGAACTACATAAATGTCAGCTATTATTATTTCACCAAGGTCATATAGCTAGCTTCTAATAGAGTCATGACTTGAACTCAGGGCTTAGGACTCCACCTCCAATGGCTGAATGCACTATACTGCCTCCTTCCAAATATTATTTTTTGAACATTAAGTCCTAACCTGGTTTCAAGCTGGTTTCTTGGTACACCTTCACTTCTATGGCCTCTAATCCGTATTGTGGAACTGCTTACCATACCTATTAATTCTCAGGTATTTGTACCTACTTCCTGGCTATAGTTAAAATAGTTATTTCTAAAAGCAATGCTGTCCTAATTCACATATACCTTTTCAACTTTAAATTTTTCTTCAGTTTATAAAACAGCAACTCTTGTCGTTAGGCAAAATAAAATTGGTATATTGAAAATATCTAAAGTTTTGGACTTTTGAGTTCCCCCCAGTTTCAAGTGTTAATTTTTGATGGAAAACATTTTTTGCTATTAGCATGGAATTTTTAAACAAAGTTCAGTATTTCCAAAGAGTGAATCAACTCTAACTTGATTCTGTTTTAGTGAACATTTTTTTTTATCTTAAGGAAAGCTAAATTATTAGGTACTCATGTGATGAAATTAGGTAAGGATTTTTGTTTTTGTTATTGCTTGCCTAAGAGTATACTAAGGAAAACTCCATTGTTTGGAGGTAATTACTTCATGTGTGAAAATAACTATGTTTAGCACTGTCATATTGATTTCTCCTAAGACTGAATAGGAATATTAAGCCCTGCACTCAGTGAATGTTACTGCTATGGAGTAGTACAATATATTATGAATATCTATTTATGTGAAGAAATCCAGGAACCTAAATGTGAGGGTGGAACACAGCTGGGAACATTTGAGTGAAGATCAAAGGAGAGAAAAACAGAAGTGATAGTGTCATGAGACTATACTATAGACTACTTGGACAGAAGGAGGAATTAAATGAAGAGTTCAGAAAACAGCACAAACCCACAAATCTAGTCTAGTGTTGAGGCATGACATAGCAATGATAAGGGAACTACAACTATCTAGGTAACTACTGGAGCACTCTCCCTCTGACAAAAGTAGAGCAGCTTTTATCTTAATTATAATTTCATTCTTAGGGTACAGAAGGCTTTAAGAGTAACTGTTAGTCTAGACATAATTCTGACCAACAAAGAGGAAATGGTTGGTGTAGTAAATGACAAAAGTCTGAGACAGTTGTGTAGAGAAGAAGGCATAGTCTGATGTGCACCATAGATTTCTAGGAAAGCAGATTTTAAAGGGTTCAGACAAATGATAATTTGGATCCCATGGCCTGGATGGGAGGATAATAATAGATGAAAGTAAGAATAATGAACTGCTCAGTTCTTGTTTTGCTCCTATTTTCTCTTTCAAGAATGATACTTAGCCTGAGAAGGCACCAAGGTCAGACAGGTGTGAAGTGGTAGAACCAATATTTGCACCCAAGCCCTCTGACTACAGATATAGAACTCTTTCTACTATACTAAAGCATATTTAGCAAGTTTCTGTGGCCAAAAAATTTATCATTGGTGACCAACCTTTTGGTGTTACTTCACCCTAAGCTATACTAGATTGCTCTCAGAAGATAGCCAGGATTTGCCAAAGCAAGCCATTCCATTGGGAAGACCCTCAATCACCTTCATGTCAGAAGCACAGGAATAGGAATTTACAGAAGAGGAGAGATTTTACAGTACTAGCACATTGAATATACACACTTGGGGATTTAATTCAACTCTTTTTTTCCTCTTTTAGTCTTTTTCTACTCTTTATAGGCCTCTGACAACACGTTTTATAAAGCAATCATAATGACTACATGTATTTTATTTGTTTTATTAATATTCCTTGAGAGAATATCTTTAATGCTTATATTAGAAAATAACATTTAACTCTTTTCTGTTATTTATAACAACCTATTTAGCCTTTTATTTTGTCAGTGTCACACCCAAAATGTTAACAAATGTTAAGGTTTAAAACCCACTGGGTTTGCATCCAGGTTATTTTTATTATATCCCTGACAGGCTGATATAGTTCTATAGGATGCAATAAACCAGCTCTGGAAAAATAAAGGGGACAAAATCTTCCCTCTGTAGTATTTTCAGATTTCCTGCTTTAAACAGGCTAATGTTTTTCCTGTGTCAATATTATAGTAGAATGGGAAACTAGTATAGATAGTCAAAAATGCTATTCCAGAAGAATACTGACAGGGAAATCACATATGGTGATTCCTAGATAGTAAATTCAACATGTAGTTAGTTGTTTTTTTTCTTAATAATAAGAAGCTGATTTTGAATACACAAACCACTCCAGCCTCCCTCTATACAAACCCACTTTCCTCCCTCCTCTCCCCCACCACACCCACACATACACACAAATCTTTGCTTGGCTGTAATCAAGCCTAGAATATAGATTTTGACAGCAGGTAAGAGATTCTTTGAAGTAGTATGTCCAGGAAGGTAACAAAGGGAAGGTTTTTGAAGCTTTATGTCATTTTAAGATATATTAGGTATGTACATTTTGAATGTGATAAAATCACAGTATGGCCAATTTCTAGTAAATCAATATATTTATATTTAATGAAGTGGAGGAACAGCTAATGTAAACTGATAGGATGACTCCAAATCATTTATATTTGTCATGGGAATGCCATATATATAGATGACCTCATTTATACCTAATTCAGCCCAGCTGTCTGTGACTAGGGACGTAACCTAAAGCCCACTCTGAAGATAACAATTCTGGATTATTCTACCTAATCATTAAAACAGAGGTTCACAATCTGGGGTCCACTGACCCCTCCCAGTTTATGGATAGATTCTGGGGGTCCATTAATTTGAATGGGAAAAAGCTACATTTTTATTTGCCCTAATTGTTTAAAAGTGTTTTACTGTGAAGGGATGCATAGGATTCTCCAGGCTGCCAAAGGAGTGCAATGACACAAAAAAAGTTAAAAACCCTGTGTATATGTATTCACAGAATTGAATATATACTCTTTTTTTTTTTAAAGGCAATTGGGGTTAAGTGACTTGGCCAGGGTCACACATCTTAGTAAGTGTCTGAGGCCAGATTTGAACTCAGGTCCTCCTGACTCCAGGGCTGAAGATCTATCCACTGAGTCACCTAGCTGTCTCGAATATATACTCTTTTATGATGGATGACTGTGAAAATATTGAATTGGCTAAAATAATGTTTTTTAAAAAGTTCCAAGTTTGACTTTTAAATGATAAATTACACCAAAAACCTACCACAGTTATCCACAGAAGTGACAATTAAAAGATAATGAGAAATAACTTATTATAGAAATATATACTTAAAATTTAACATCAAATTAACAGTTTTGTAATATAACATTAAAAAATTAATTCTCACCTCTTTCAAAGAGCTTTTCATTTCCAATTATATGACTGATTATTTCTGGAGTTAATTTTAGGGACTTCCTAAGTTCTGAGGATGTTTGTATATCTGTTCTTTCTTGGAGAACGGCAGGTTTCAATAACTCATATTTGATTGGCAAAATAAATTGCTGAAAAATTATAATGGTAATTCTTGGAGATAATTATTGAATTTCTGAGTTTAAATATTTACTATAAATATATTTAAATATTGTTCAACATTTTAGAATAAAAAAACCCAATGGTATTTGTAAAAATGAACACTCCCTCCAAGGTATGCATATATGGGGTCAGGCAGGACTAAAAATACTTTGAGACATATACTTTATGTCACACAGCTAACCTTTAGCCTATTCTTTTGATGCCTCGTCTAGCTTCTGTCCCTAACATCAGGTCAGTTCACTTGAGCAGCTGAGGATTAGGGAAGAGAGGAAAGAGGGCTTTTTAAATGGAGTTGGCACATCTGAGAAACTGAGATCTGATTTCTACTCTATGAAATGAGTTCTATTCCCACTCCTAGGAGGCCAGCCCCCTCAGAAGACTCAAAACAGTATGTACATATAACTTGAAGATGCTGGAAAAGGCACTATATAAATGAATGAGTTTTTTAATGCTGAAAATTTTCAGCTATATGTATCCAGTTAAATCTTAAGTTCATTCTCAATATGATGAAATTGAACAAGCCATAAATGAGCTCCGTAAGGAAAAAATCCCCAAGATCAAATGGGTTTACAGGTGAATTCTACCCAACATTTAAGTAACAATTAATTCCAATACTATATGAAGTATTTGAAAAAATAGGCAAAGAAAGAATCCTACCAAATTGCTTTTGACACAAATATGATTTTGCTACCTAAACCTGGGAGAGCAAAAACAGAAAAGAAAGCTAAAGGGCAATTGCCCTAATAAATATTCATGCAAAAATTTTAAATTAAATACAAGCAAGGAGGTTTGGACAGCTAGGTGGTGCAGTGGATAGAGTGCCGGACTTGAAATCAGGAGGACCTGAGTTCAAATCTGGCCTCTTAACCCTGTTTGCCTCAGTTCCTCATCTGTAAAATGAGCTGAAGAAGGAAATGGCAATCCATTCTAGTTAGCATCTTTGCCAAGAAAACCCCAAATGGGTTCACAGAGAATTGGACATGACTAAAAACAACAACAGCAGCAGCAAGTAGATTACACCAATATATCACAAAGATCATACACTATGACCAGGTAGGAGTTATACCAGGAATGCAGGGCTGGTTCAGTGTTAGGAAAACTACAAGTGTAATTGCCATATCAATAACAAAAAAACCAACATCATTGTATGAATAGGTGCAGAAAAAGCTTTTGATAAAATACAACACCTATTTCTATTACAAGCACTAGAAAGCGTAAGAATAAGTGGAACCTTTCTTAAAATGATAATCTATCAAAAACCCATTTCAGAAGAAATCAGTATGCTGAAAACATGTGAGCTGGAAACATAAATAGATTTTCACCTTTTAAAGTAATTTTGGTTTTGAATTTACTCTAGTTTTAAAAAAATGGCTGAAATGCAATCAAACAACTTACTCCTTTAGCTGCTAGTATTCTTTGCAAACCAATTTTAAGAGAAAACTTATTTTGTGCCTTCTTGAACTATAAGCAGCAAATGAGAGACTACTCTGTAAAAGATCTGCCTTTAATGTGGTAAAAATCTTTCTTCTCCTTGTTCCTCAGGGAGATGAGCCACTAGCAGTCCTAAGATCCTTTGGGAAACCACTGTTCACATGGCTTCCATTACATGAATAAATCTCTAATCTTCACTTGTCCTTATATTATGCCCTCCAATTTTCTCCATGGTGTCACCACTAGACAATAAGAACCAACTCTTATAGAGCATTTTAAGAAGTGTAAAGTACTTTACACACAATATTTCCTCTTGACAGCTGTGAGAGATAATTTTTTTTGACCAACCTTGGAATTTTACTAGTATAGAGAGTTCTCAGTACTGGAACTCCTTCTACCAACACAGAGTAACCCCCTACTCTGCAATATTAGTCTTAGTTTCCAGGGGCATTAAGAGGTTAAGTAACCTGTTTAGGATCACAAAGCACATCTGTGTCAGACAGAACATCAGGGCCTTGTTGGTTCTGAGGCTGGCTTTCTAGCCATTATGCCATGCTGCCTCTTGTGAGGGAACTGCTACAGGGAGTGTTATCTTGATTTCACAAATGAGGAAACTAGGGCTTTAGGATTTTAAGGGACTTGTGCAAAGTCACACACCCAGTAAAAAGTGGAGATGGGATGTGAATCCAGTTCTTGAATCTAGTTCTAGGGCTTTCTCCACTTATGCCATGCTGCATCTTACTTAAAACCTAAAACACATGAAACTGGTCAAGATTAGGGGGGCTATGGAATCCTCAGAATTATTCCTTCATAGTTTCTCCATCATTATCAATAGCATAACTCTCCCACATTCAATCCATTACCAAATATTTTTTAGTTTCACAATTATATATTGCATTCTACAGACTACTAAAGTTCATAGAAATTTGTTCTACCACTTTTATAAGAATTTATTAAATAAGAGTTATTAAAATATGATTAAGACCAAACTTTAAAAAAAACCTACTTTTTCATCTTCGAACAGCTCCTTAATCATATATAATTCTTCTTTCTCATAGACTTCCAAATTGCTTTGAAATGGGGAATATTCCCTGAAAAGAAAAAGTAAAAATTTTGATCCCTCAAATAACATTTTAAATGGAAATATTAAGTCAATTTTTTGTTTTGATTACTGATTATCAACCCTGAGTTGCCGTTTTATTTTTATATGCATATATGTGTGTATATGTACACACACACACACACACATATATACACACACACACACACATATACACATACATATGAGGAATTCTCATGTCTCCAAACTAGTCCTATAGGAGCCATGATAGGAAAGCTTTATTTGTCTGCAAATTTGCTTATGTAGAACATCATATTACTTGACAATATATAGTTGATATATAATCTGAGGAAACCCAGGTCTTTTAAAGGGCCATGCTCAAATTGTCTTCTCTCAAACAGAACTCTTATAATATAAGATCTCCCAATATTTATGCACATTTCTTACATTTAAGCAAAATAGGAGGAAATACAGTAAAAATGAGTTTTGGACAATAATTTTCATCTTATTCATATGTAGACTTTCTATTGACTTCAAAAGAGCTGCCTAAATTCTAATGAGTTTTTTTTTTAACATGTTGAGGAGAGAACAAAATAGTAAACACTATTGTGTTTAGTGAGGATTCTAAATTTTTTGTTTGTTTTTTAATTCCTGGAGGGATATCCTGTGGTTACTCTGATGTGGGTTGGAAGTATTTCATTAACTGCAGTCTCCCCAGAATGCCCCCTAGTCAAAACTTTTTATAGAAAATCTATTCTCTAACAGTATTATGGTGATACAGATACTGAGCTGAAAAGATTTGCTTTTAGATGATTCATAAAAACCTGTGACTTAGGTACTAAATTTTTTCTCATAATGAGTATTTTTGATTCTTAAAATATAAACATAGACTATTGTTAAGGGATTGTTTTTAGTCACACAAAAGCATCAATATCTGTAATGAAATAATCATTTCACATTATGCATAATTTAAAATTAAATATGGCATTATTTTTTACCAAATGAACCACAGATTTACAATGGGATAAACTGCCTACAGAGCCTACATATTTTATACATTATGAATATTTTTGAATGAGCCTAAGGTCCTTTGAGGATTGCTCTAGTATTGTCATGTCCTCAGTATGAGATTTATTTATAGCCTTCTAGGAGTTATAGGAATGGCAATGTCAACTACCTTAAGCCCAAGTGTGGTATCTGGGTTTATCCAGGAACTATTTCAACTAAAATTAAATGAAGAATAGAGGTATCTTTCTTTCACTTCAATTTTAGTTGAATCTTTGGAATGATTTTGTATACTGGAAAGGCTGTGGAGACACTGAACTGCAGTCAAACAAAATCTATATTAATTAAATTTGACTTAATGGCAAACAGATGTTGAAACCGAGAACATGGAAAGAACATTTCCCCCTCTTAAATACATTCACAATACCAGTAACCAGTGATTAAATACCTGAAATGACCAGCTTCTATGAAGATCTGTTGCTCTTTCAAATCTAAACAAGGATCTTTTAATAAAAATACTTTTAGTTTACTCAAAAGGGTATACAAAGTAGGTAGCTGCTTTTTATACTCCACCAAATTATTTATAAAAATTATTTCATCATCAATATATAAATCTGGAAAGAAATAAGAAGCAAAATAAGAAATCAGAAAGGAATAAAAAGTAGCTACTATGAACATCAATACAAGCATATTTTAAAGTATTTAAGTTTTTTTGTACTTCAAGGTACTATTTGGTTCATTGAAGAAAAATTTCCTTAACAGAAGTATCTCACTCTCTTAAATTCCTTAAAACATGATTATTCCCACAGAGTCCTAGGTAATATTACGAAATGACCTTTGTTTTCCAGCCTGTGTTCTATACTCTTCTATTCTTTCAGGGGTTTCCATCTTCCTGAATCTTTACTCAGGCACCTATTGTCTTCAGTTCTCTCAGACTTCTTCCCTTATGAAAAACTTCTAGCAGGAAAGGATGGAACCACCTCATCATACTAATGACTGAAAAACACTAACATATTACCATTTCCAGGAACATCTGCATTTTAACAGGGGACCAGAAAATGCAGCAAAGGAATAAATCTATAGTTACATTATTTTGGGCATAAGCAAGCAAATAAGGTAGTATTTGGGAATAGGCAGAGAGCATTTTTGCCCACCTAAAATCCCACAGTACAGATGGCTTATTTCTCTGTATATCAACAATGTCATTATTGCTACCACTTATATATCATAAAATGCTTTGCATATATTATTTCATTTGATCCTCATAAGACTGGCAATGATTATACTTCCCTAAACAGTTTGCTTCAGCAGAGTTTCCATCAAACCGAGAATCATGGAAATTACATGTGCTAAGTTAACAGCCAATTTAAAAAGACTGTTTGTTTAATAAAATATTCCTAAACATTATGAAAAGCCTCTGCTAACATTTAGCAGACAGAACACTGAGGGCAGGGGAGAGAGAGGAGGAGAGAACATTAGTTTGCTCCTCTTTTGCGTCAGTCTCAGCTGCTTCCACCTCTATATCTTATCTCTAGAAAGGTAATGCATATTTTAAGAGAAAAATGATTATGGAAATTATGGAGAAATATAGGTATATCCACTTAGTAAATAGATAAATTAGAAGTTATTGTTTGTATTACAAAAGGAGTCTGCTAGATTCCTTTTAAAATTGTATCTGCTAATACAGTATGTCTGCAGAGAAATTCAAAGCTTAGGTGGTAAGTCAACACCAATTTAAGATCAATCAGAAAAGAGGTAAAATCAGATGTTAAAAATAAAGTTAAAGGGAAAATATTGTTGGCTTACAAAAAGTCCACAAGTCAAGGTGCAACTGACATAGTACAATGAATGCAGGACTTGGTATCAAGATGACTTAGGTTTGAATTCTGTCTCTGACACTTACTAGCTATGAGAAAACACATAGTCTCTCTGAGTCTCAGTATTCTTATCTGTAAAATGGGGATGTATTTGTAATTTACAGGATTGTTGCAAGGCTCAAATGACATAATGGATACAAAGTGCTTTATATTCTTTAAAGCTTCTATGAATCCAAATTCAATAATTACTAAACACTTATCATGTACCAGGCTTTATATTAGGCCCTAGGGATAGAAAAATAGAAAAAAAACCATACCAAAATATAGGTCCTGCCCACAAAGAGCTTAAATTACATTCGTTCTCATTTCCTAATAATATTAATATTATGTGATGTGTACAAATGAGTGTTACATAAAAGATGGTCCTTGTTAATAAAACAAATTGTTGCCAGTTAGGGTCTTCTTGTAAATGTTAATTTTATATGAATAAAAATTGAAAATTAAAGTATACCACCATGATAAATACCTAGATAATTGAAAATATCTTGAAAATTGAATAACTTTTTCCACTTTAAAGATTTTTAGCATTATTACATGGTAAGGTAGTTTGGTATAGGGGATAGTGCACTGCTCTTGAAGTCACAAAGGCCTTGTTCAAGACCCACCTCTGACACATATTACTGATGTGACCACTGGCAGGTAACTTAACCTCTCAGTGTTCTAGGCAACTGTCTAATACTCTAAGTCACAGAAAAGTTTCCCATCCCATTGTGGGGAGGTATTTTTACACTAGAAGATTATTTTATTGATGAAATCACAGATCTATAACCCAGATAGCTCATGGACTCAGTATAATACAGTAAACAAATAATTTTCTGATTTTATCATCTTCCCATTTTGCTTTCTTTACACAAATATGAATCTGTGGTATAATAGAACCCTGACTTAGAATCAGAAGATCTGTTTTTAAGTCCCTGTTCTACCACTAGAGGACATTACTTGCACTAGGAAATCCAGTATAATGGATTTATGGCTAGCCTTGGAGTCAAGAAGAGCTTCCTTTGACACATACTGGCTGTGTGACATGGACATGGAACTTAATCACTAGGTACAGCAGGCAGCTCTCTAGGACTCTTAAGTTGCAGAACAATTACAGTTTGGTAGAGCTGTGTTGGAAGAAGTTTCCTCACTTTCAGATGCCATAAAAGGACAATAACAACAAGCAAAAAGAGCCCTGGAGAAGGGAAAATTGCCCCAAATCTGATGGGCTAAGGTAGAAGAGATAGTATTTAAACCCATGTCCTTCTGACTCCAAAACCAGTATGCTTTCCATTGTACCTGACAAAGATATTATAATTGCAGTAAAACTTAAAATTCAGCCAAATGACCTTGATAATATAGTTTATAGTCATAAATTGCTATACAAATTAAGTTATGATTAGTTGGTGGTGATCTCCATTGAAAGCTATATTCTCAAAGTCTTTTAAGACAGTGATTTGCTAGCTTACATATTTCTTAGCTGCTCAGAAATGTTTGACTTCTTTTTCTTGTTTGGAGTATAAAGGAACATTCTGTAATATTACATATTTAGGGGGGCAGCTAGGTGGCACAGTGAATAGAGTTCTGGCCTTGGAGTCAGGAGAACCCAAGTTCAAATCCAGCCTTAGACACTTAACACTTACTAGCTGTGTGACCCTGGGCAAGTCACTTAACCCTGATCACTTCACCAAAAAGCAAAACAAAACAAAACAAAACATATTTAGTCTAACGTTAAAAATCTTCTTCTTAAGTGATATTAAAAACAGTTTGAAGGACTCAAGTTGACTAAAACAAGCATCTATGTGTGCAAAATATTTAATTCATCACAAGATAAAGGAACAAACTAGTTATTTGTCAAATTGTCTTAAAAAAAATAAATCTACACCTATGTCTAGAAAGGACATACCAGTAGGGTTAATTGTCTTTTATTTTTAAAACTTGCAAATTTAATTGGGTGAAAATGTCTGGGGGACAAATGATTTGTAAACACAAGAACCAAGGGACTTTAAACCTGGAAAGGACCTTGGAACTGATTAAATCTATCCTCTATCCTTATTTTTCCTCAGAAATGCTTGCCTAAGATCACACTGCTCATTTGTAACAGAAAACAAGATGGAATCTTGGTTTCCAGGCCAGTGTACAGTCCACCATTCAAAATCAATTTTCTGTTAAGTACCAAAAAGATGAATTGTAATCTTCAAAAAGAATATAGAACGATGTATAGCTAAAGTTTAAAAAAAAGGTTTTATTAGATCCTTATCTAATTTTATAATATGTAAATTTGAGGAAATTACTTTAAAAGTTAACATTCATAAGAGTAGAGACCCTGTAAGTTTTGAATGTATATTTATAGTTAAATGATCTGTGAACTTTCATTTGGAAGTTCCTCCACGAAAGCAAATTAAATCCATACAGCTCTGTTCTTTCTATTCTACTATTGTCCAAGTCCTCCCATAAGCACACCCCAGAAGCTCCACCCAATGTGCTAGAGGGCTTCGGTGTTTTCTCCTAACAAAATGAGGGCACCATTAAAGCATTCTGGCTGTTCCCTTGTTCTCTTTCACCCTCACCCCAGCCCATTTTCTTTCCCTATCACATACTTCCTTGATGACATCTTTATTCTTATTCTTCTTTGACATTTCTCATTTAAGTTGCAGCCTGCTCATTCCCACCATGTGCTTCTCCACTGCCTTCTAGGATATTAACTTTTTTTTTCATCAGAGAACGTTGTGTTCCATGTCTCAGTGCCATACAGTAACAAGAGTAGAATGTTGATATTTAAAAGATAGGTCTTTCTTTGCATGGAAAGCTTGGAGTCATTAAAGGACACTCCTCAATGGATTTGTTTTTAAAATGTGTTTTTTTGTAAACAACAGATTGCAGGGTTTTCTTTTCTTACTAAATCTGTCACTCCTTTTCATTTTACTGCAATATTGTTTCTCTTTTTCAAATTAGGGTTTTTTCCCTATTCCTCTGTAAAAACAGTACCTTGTCTCTTCAACCAATTTAATTCAGTTAGTTAAATCTGTTTTGAGACAACCTTCTTCCTATTGGCTCTCTTTCCCTCACCTTCAAGCCTCCCCCTCTTGTTACCCTTTTTCCTTAGTTCTGGAGTTTTACTTAATATGTTGGTTTCTTTTTATTGTTTGTTTCTATCTATTTAATTCTTCCCCTCTTTTTTCCATTTGTTAGGTAGTCAAGTAAAATTCTCCTCCTTCTCCCCCTTCAACTTGTTTTGTTAGCTTTTAAAATTTCATTTTCTAAACCTTTTGTAAAAAGGATTTATTTCCCTCATAATCTCTTTTCTGTCTATTTTAGACTTGCATTCTGATTCATGAACCTTATACTTAGACCTTTTTTAGCGTCTGTATTCCTCATGGAATTGAAGCCTCTAAGGTAACAATTCTGGGTTCCTTCGACTAAGCAGTTTCTATGTTATTACCTTGTAGATCTTGCCCCCTAGTCCATCTTTTTCTGTTGTGCCTCACTTTTAGAAACACTGATTCCTGCAGGTGATAGAAAGAATATTGATCTTGGGGTTATATTCCCTCCATTCTATTATTAATATCTTCCCTATTGCTTTATTCATGTTCAAGGGCTTTAATTGAGTTTTCATCCTCTTGAGATTGTAGGTAGTTTTCATATTTGTCTTTTAATATTCCCCTATTTTTCACTTTCTGACTTCCTCTCCTTTGATGCTGCTCCCCCGGGAGCTGTACATCGAAGTTATCTCAGTGCCCTCCAACATGTCCAATTCA